CCTGCTACCAGGGAGATAAGGTTCACATAGAGCTGCTCTACAGATGACTGCGAGGTTTCAGAGGAGCAAATGGAGAAGCTTAAATTGAGAATGAACCTGTTTTTCAACTTCGCATTAAACTGGAAAGGAAAATCTAGTTTATCACTAAGTATATAAATGAATCTTTTTTTATCTTGTGGGTCATTGTTCTCTTACATCACCTGAAGATAAAAGGGTTGAAAATTTAAACGTAAGATATTCTCAGACTGACTTTGTCAAAAACAGACTTCTAAAAAATGATTAATGACAACCCCATGAGTTGTCAGTGTCAGAGCAGAACAGACCAACTGTATACAAATCTATTCAGACGTGAATTTATCGTCTTTGATCATGCTGGTTTAAAATAGAAGCAAATTAACACTCTGTCTGCACACATGAATAAAACGGTGAGTAATGAAATAACTGTACACCAGCTGTTAAGATTAAAATCCAGGCCTATAGAGACTGTATAAATTCATTTCATTTATTTATAGCTCTTGGAAGGAGTTTAAATATGTTTTGAAACAGACAAAAAAATCAGTGCCTTATTATGACCCGTAAAAGTAACCATCACCAGCAAGACTGATGTTGTTTGTTCTATGTTTGATCTTAAATGACAGTACCTCACCGGAGCTTAAGCTTTAAAGTAAAAGCTTTTTCTAAACAGGATTATGACTAACATCAGACCAAAACACTGTGACTAATATTATTGCTTTGACTGAATCTCGAAATACAGTGACAGACAAAGAGCATTCCTGTAACCATAGCAATTCACCTGCACCATGATTCCATGATTGGCATGGGTCATCTGAGGTTAGAAAATCCGAGGACTGGGATATATCCAGGAGAATCACACCTCTGTTTAAGAGCACTAGTGTTGGTCTGCAGGCTAAACATTGAAGTTACATCTCAAACACTAAGAGTATTACAAGAGTTCTCTCTCTCTTCTTTTGTTTGCCTTGAAAAAAAACATTTATTTTCCAACCTTACCCTTTCAATATTTCAACTATTAGGTGACAATATTCAAAGTCTAGTAAAAGGTGCAACGTCCCTCTGGATGACAACATCTTTATAAACAAGAACAGACAGCAAGCTTACCTCTTCAGCTGCAAACTTCAACACTGCTGTAAACGGTGTGCTCTCTGGGACACTTAATCTGTAACAAAACAATGCATCGAACTGGTTATTGAAAATACCATTAGATCTAACGCTACTTCACCCTCTATGTTAAACAATTTGCTTTTGAAGGCGCCATGGCAAATGACCAAATATAATCTTTCAATCTGTTGACCTGAGCTTCGATCGTTGCTTTAATAGTGCAGAGCAAGTCAATTACACTTTTAAAGCAGCTCTTGAGCTCTGTGGTCGGCTATTTACTTTGACTTTGAAGAGAACAAAAGCCACATTTTCTTTTTACAGCTCAACTGAGTGTAACATTACATTTGTCAGAGTCAATTCTGAAGATGAAGAACAATAAGTAGTTACAGACTCCCAATTGGGAGCCTCTTTTGAAACCCCCACTCAACCAACCATTTTACCAAATAGAAATCAACTGAACTTTGCTGTTAAATTTGTGAGAAAATAAAGAAGAGGAAAAGGTTTGGAATTTAATTTGAATGTAAAGAAGTAGGGGAGACACTGAGGAGCAGGAGTTGAAATTTTAAGGGGCCGTCGTGACGCAGCTGGTGATGAAAGTTACACTGATGTATATTTACATAACTAAGAGGGAGCGCCTGTTTGATCTGAGTCGATCAGACTGATGTCGACTTCAAGTGCAGTCTGTTCTGACGGGATAAGTGTGATGCCTCATTTTTTCATTATTATCTCCTCTGCTCATACTTTGGCATGAACAGCAGAAGCGAGGCCTTGTCTGACATGGAGAGCTGGCTCCATGTCAACACTTTGAGGCAGGAAATGTGAGCATTGACTCATTATTGGGCAGTTATTTAATTGTGGTAACTGATATCAGCATGAACGATGAGAAATTAGGCTCTGCATTACACTCATGTCTGTGCATATTTTGTGTCTGATTTCTACCCTTTCACTCTGTATTTGTTTGACCTGTTTAATAATGAACGTGGGCTGAAATAATGTGTTTGTACCCAGCTGATACCTGGAATAATACGCAACAAAGAGTGCTGTATGACACTTTTGCAACCCAACAGTAATAGGTACGCAGCACTTGTTCACTGCACTTTGACCTCTGCCTGCTCCTTTTTTTTCTTCTTTTTTTGGGAAAAGCGTGCATGACACATTCACTTTGGAAGGAAAACTAAAGGAGTGTCACTGTCTGGCAATGGATTTAAGTCACACAATTATTTTTCCGGGATTAATCGAATGAGTCTATTGCTGCGATTCCAAAAACCATCACATGGTTTACATTTTGTCAGAGAGGAGATTTTGTTCATTGAGATATATGAACCTTTTAATAGCTTGACCTTTCCAGTAGATTGAAATAAAAATCTAGCAAAGGATATGCTTGGTTTATTGACAACAGAATTAAAGTCCTTCTTTAAACTTTTACAGCATACTTCACGTATCCAAAACGTTGCAACAAAATCACAGATTTGGCCTCCTGGCAAACATCCTCCGCCAGCAGACTGGCACATTTTTTTTGCTATTTTTTGGGGGCATTTTTGACTTTATTAGAGAAGACAGCTAAAGAGATAAAGAGTGGGGGTAGACACGCAGTAAATGGTCTTGGCTGGAGATCGATACAGTGACTGCTGCAACAAGGACAACAGCCACTTAGGCAGACAGTGCCCTATACTGTTCCCCCTTTTTTGAGTAAAATTGAAAGCACTTCTAATACAGTGGCTTCTTAAAATTCAGATCAAGAAGAATATCTCCCAAAAAAATGTGTGCCAATCCTAGTTAATCTGGCAACAACTTTAGGAAAGTTCGGTGAGAGCATCTCTTTGCATTGAAGACAGAATGAGGACGTCAATACCTCCTGGCATATGCACCCCTCTTTAGTCAGATGATCTTTGTAAGCTATGCTTTATGCATACTTAGAAGTGAAATGACTTCATCTAGATGGACAGGATAATAATAGTAATAACAACAATAATAATAATAATAATAATAAGTTTAATTTTTTAGCACTTTTAAAAACAGAGCTTTAGAAAGTGCTTTGGCAAACAGTCGTAAAGCATCAGCACATGGAAATAAAAACAAATAAAAAACAAAAGCTGAGCTAAAAAAAAGGCCTCCGAATTGAAGGCCAATTTCATTTGTCTCTCTGCATGCCTTATCTCCTCTGGCAGGTCATTCCAAAGTCGAGGAACTCTGATGGAGAAAACTCTATCACCTTAAGTTTTGAGCCTCGACTTTGGAACGACTAGGAGGCCTTTGCCAGAGGATCTGAGGCTGCGAGTTTGCTCACAAGGTAATAAAAGCTCTGAAATAAAGCTGGAGGACAGTGATCATCAACTGGTGGCCCCCAAACTGTCCAATCCAGCCCATGACTGGATTCCATAATGATGAGGATCAAAGAGAAAATATCATGTGGTCCACACTGTTACAGCAACTGAAAACAGCAACAACTGAGACTCTTAACTATCCGTAATCCCCACCATTTATGACTCTATACATTCCAACATGAGGACAGACTCGCTGCACTGTTTAGCCTAACATTTATTGTTTCGCACAGTTCTTTTTTTAAAAGATATAACCGTACCCTCATGCCCTTACTTAACATTTGGTTTTAATTTCAAAATCTCAACAACAAGCTTCAAACTAGCAGACTTCTCTGGACAAAAAAAGGAGGAAAAACCAACTGGTATGACTTAAAATAGCATGGTAAATAACCTGGTACCGGAACAAAACAGGTCACAAATAATATGTCATTTTACCTGGGTTAAGAGGCCTTTTCCTATCACTTCTGTGGTGTTTGTTTTTTAAGTGCTCTATAAATAAAGTTGACTTAATTGAGTTGAGGCAAAATATCTCTATCACTCCTGGCGGTTGACTGTGGTATAGGTGACAGGAGCCTGACTCATAAAGGCTAAAAATGCCTTCAGTTTTGTAATGAAATGGAAAAAGATATAAACAATAAACATCAAATAATAACGTTATGCCAAAGTTAGATTTTTATTGAATTTTCATTTGAGGGTCCAGCCCCCAAGGTGACTGTCCGGTAAAATTCCGACAAATATAGTTGCTGTAGGATGTTCAATGAAAAATCAAAGTTGCCCTTTAGTGTAAGTGCGTCTGTGTAAAAGCTTCACCATTCTACCAGCTGTTGACCGATTTCTTCAATGTATAGTCATTAACAATTGTAGGTTCTGTCACGGCGCTCAACAAACATTTTTGCTGTTAAAACGTTATTTATGTAAAAGTCTATTTCTAAAAACAGAAGCTGAAGATGAGAGGATGTTATAGGGTAAAATCAGAGTCAGTACATCAACCACAGATCTGAGCTGACAGATGTTTCTCCCTCTGGACATGAAAAAAGCGATTCAGATTATAATAACTGTCAAGACATTTCAAAGCAGCCCCGATAAACAACATTTAGAGGAACGTAGAGTTCAATAAATGTCTATAAAACGAGCTAAGAGTGTGTCTGAGAGTGTATTTGCGGAGCTGCAGCTGTCTACTCACACTTTGTACGGAAGCCGGGGGTCCGACGTCAGGGTGATTTTAAACGTTACTTTAGACCTAACAAAGAGGATGACATTAAAGATACTGACACATCGATGCAGGCTAATAACTGTTAATCACATACAAACACAAATAGACTGAAAACTTACATCTTCTAAGCGAGGTAACTCCTTTTGCTATCCGTTTACACACACCCGGAAGTCTGAAGGACCCAGACATACACGTCATGCTTATTGCTCTGTTTTAAAACACATTTATGTATCCACGTTTGGTATTTGGATAGGTTTTTAAAGTGTTTGTCAAATCGTGTATATTTTCAAGCCACAACAGTGCGTAGTTTAAAAATAAATAAAGCATTATTTATTCCAGTTTCTGACAGGCATTTATTGGACAACTAAAGTAATATTTGCCGTAAATGACAAACAAAAAGCGCACGGCGCAACAACATTTTCTGAGTGCACCTCTAAGGTTGGTTGCCATCCGCTGTGAAAGAAGAAGAAGAAGAAGAAGAAGAAGAAGAAGAAGAAGAAGAAGAAGAAGAAGAAGAAGAAGAAGAAGAAGGAGGTGGTTTTTTGAGGCGCATACTGGCAAAGACAGTAAGTTGATGGTTTTCCTCTTTATTTTAAAGAGTTTTGTAACATCCATGGAACACACTGAAAATCTCATTAGTCCCTTTTTATGACATTCAAAAGTAAACAAGACCATCAGGAAGACCAATGATGATTTTTATATCAGTTTTTGATGCCTAACACTAGTGTTAGGGGATAGGTGTTAGCTGAGCAGCTAAAGACACATCCCTGTATTCACAATTAATGAAACATTTGACTGTCAAAAGCCAGCAAGATTAAATCTTTGACCAGAAAACACAGTTGAAGCATATACAGGCCAAGAAAGTCAATGACTGATTCATCCCCAGGTGTGCCAAGTCAGAGATCAGAAGTTTCTCACAGGAGCTTTAAGATACATTTGTTGCAACCTTTGTCCCATAAAAACTTTCTGTTTTTATTTTTTTTGTGACAGATGTTTTAGCAATGCACCAAGGTATCAGGCTAATCCACTTAAAACATCTTTTTTAATCCATTTATTTCAGGGTTTAAAAAATATATGGTGTGTGGCTTGGTGGCTGTCTGGCATGAGTCTGGTCCTACCCAAGGTTTCTGCCTGTTAGAAGGAAGGTTTTCCTTGCCACTGTTACTCATGTTAGATGAGACGGGCCAAATCCCATCTTGGGTTGGGTCTTGATAATTCATCAAACAATGAGCGTGGTCTAGACCTCTTCTCTTGTTCTTTGAAAAGCGTCTTGGGATGACGACTGTTGTGAATTGGCGCTATATGAATAACATTTGATTTGATTTGATTTGATTTGATATACAATACATGGCAGCCAGATGTTATTCTTGGAGCTGTGTGATACAACCAGCACATAAATGCATGGCACGTTTTATATTTTCAGGGCACCTACCTACTTGGCTCTTAATGTGAGCAATGTAAATTTAAAGAAAACGAAGATATAGTTTCATACATCCTGTCAAAACAAACCAAAATTGCAAATGAAAAACTTTTTATGAATATCAGGATCAGTCATGTCAAGCTCTTCAGATTTTTCTTCAGTCTGGTCTGATCAGGCAGCGAGACGAAAACATTAACTGTATACAGTTGTGCAACACTTGTGGAGACATCAAATCAGTAAAACAGTGAGGACTGATGACTAAGCAAGCTCCACAAGCTAAAAAAGAGAACAAGAGGGTGACAATATAATATTTCAGCAAGCATTATTTTACTGCATAAACAGCACATCAAGTTTGCAAGCAGCATTTTGAAATAATGTGATAAATCAAGAATTTAAATTCAATATCTTGCCAGCCCTTTCCTCTGCACAGAGAGAGATGAAGAGAGACAGAGAGAGAAAGACACACGTTAAAAGAGAGAGAGAGAGTGATGCCGCGGAAGCATGTGAAACAACAGCCGGCAAAGAGAATAGGAGCAGACACATTATGATGACTCAGAGTTACAGTGCAGACATTCAGGTTCACACCTCTGGGATTTCAGCAGTGGGTGTTCCCCAGAAAAGACATACTAGTGCAGAGGAAGATGTGAGTAGGCTGTAAAAAGAACAGAGAAAGGCTGCTTTTACTATCACATAAAGAATATGTCAGGCAGGCTGTATGGGTGTGCCATTAGGTTTAGACCAGGCAAATTCATCTTAAATGTTAGTGTTTAATTCATGCAAAGGTGCTCACATCTGTTTCCCTGTAAAACTGCACTGTAATGAAGTTGTTTGTTGAAGCATTTTGTCTGTTTTTTTGTCTGAGATCAAAAAGAGAACTAGGCTCCACACAGAAACAAATCTGCACTTTGAATCTATCATGCAATTACAAATTGAATGTTTGCTTTGAAGCAGAAAGAAAAGACCAGGATATGACAGATGTCCGTCACCCCCCCTTGAGTATACCTAAACTGCATTCATAATGTGAGATACTGGCAACCACTGCATGCAGTGCATGGCAGCCTGCACTGAGAGAAATGTATTAACATACCAAAGGCAGGTCCCATAGTGAGACAAATAATGCTAATTATCTGCAGGAATATAGAAGTAATCAATGCCAATCTGGCTGGTTATGCTTGCAGGCATGTGCACACACAAGCAAAAATACGCAGACCTGTACTCAGATGTTCAATGCATGCATTATACATGTGCCTGTTAGAGTGCAACAGCCTTTTTTTGTTTTTACTGATCTCAAAGGTCATTGTACAGCTGTCTGTATTATTTTCCCTGGCATTACAGATATATTGACCTGGCCTGCAGGTAAAGGGCATGATCAGTACAGTGATCCAATGAGAAAAAAGAAAGCAACAGGAGTATCGCTGGTAAGATGTGCACAGTGAATAAACAAGATCAGTGTCTACAGTAGGAGAGCTCAGTAACTTACAAAGATCTCTATTTATATGTAGCACAGTCTGCTCCATAACACCCCCTCAGTAATCCCAGGTTCCAAGTTGTTTGATTTTTATGTGCTGCTTTTGATTTAGAGGTTTTGTATTCATGTCATGCTACATAATATAAATGGACCACACATACACAAAACTTTTCCATGTCTGGACCACTTTTGCTTTATATGTCACTCCTGTCCTTTCCAATACAATTAAATAGCTTTAAAGGCTGTGTGTTTGATCTGAGAGATGGAGAAGTTCAGATGCTATCCCCACTTTACTGTGTCGTATTTGAAGTGATCTTGCTCCTTTCATTTATTTCCTGACTTAACCTCTGACTGCACTGTTAATGCTAGAAAATCAGGAGATGACCCTCTTGATTAACTTCACATCACTACCAGCTTTAATTGGTTCAAAGACTTTTTGGTTTATCTTTAGAAAAAAATATGTAAGCCAAGTAGAGTTTCCTGCTCCAAACAAAGGAGCTGCTCATAATTAATGCCTTAATAAGAACCTCCTGGCCTCTTGGCACTGTACTATTTTCAATGGCAAGAAGTTAAGACTGGATTTTAAACCTGGACTGAGCTTATCAAAGAGCAGTGCAATGCTGGAGCTACGGGTCATCCAGAGGATAAACCACATAAGGATGTGTAGACCTTAGTCCAGTGAAGGGGAAGTAGTAAGCCAGGATGTCAAAAAGATATTTCAGTGTCTTCACACTCACAGCTTAACAACTGTCTTGGCAGGGTGACCATCAGTGGGCAAGATAATTTTGTGAGTTGTATTGATTTCAATAGCAAAACATTGCCCATCAGAGCAGTGATAAAATAATAGTTTTGTTCTTAGGTAATTAACCTCTGAATAAAGCCCACAAAAGACCATCATACCCTCAGCGTCATGTTTTAATTACAAGACTGCAACTAGCAACAGGATTAATTAGCTAAATATGTTGACAGTCAATGAAGACACAGCTCTGCAGTGGAGATCATGAATAATACATCAGCTGTTAATTAATATCTCACTCTTTCTCTCACTGTTGTTTCTCTCTGTTAAAGTTCAACCAAACAACATTACTCAAGTTTCTGTCACTGAGAAGTGTTAAATGCAATTAAATTATTTTAGTCCATCTATTGGCGTACTGGTGTCTAAAAAGCTAATATAACCATAACTCAAAGGAGTTATTTCCCATGGTAATCATAATACCTTTGCTCTGTTATTATTGACTAAGTGACAGTACACGAAATGTACCAGGATGCTTGTGTAGACTGTAGCGCTGCTTTTAAATAAAGAGGTGGAATTGACTGATTCTTATATATAATGACTTATGTGTTGTAGTTGAATCCCCAACCCCAAGTACAAGTTGAGTCTACAGTCCTCAAAAATTCAAGTCACTGAGGAAGAATCAAAGCTGGTTCAAAGTAAGGACCCCCATACCCATGTTGCCTGAGATGATGAGGCATCAGACATCCTGGTTGCTAGTCAAGATAGCATGTGAACACTCATTGGGTAAACACAAGTGACAGCCCTTGCTAAGAAACTATTGGGGTTTTCATGTTAAAAAAAAAGCCTATCAGTGAACAAGTATGCCCCTCTCCTTCCAAGTCCAAATGCAACAAGTGCTTAAGTCTGAGTCCAAGTTGAGTCACAAGCCCCTGGAATCAGGGCTAGAGTTAGACTCAGGGCTGAGTCCTGGACTTGGGTACTTCAGCACTGATTGGTCTTTGGTCTATGTCCAAAACAACCTTCAAATCTTGAGTTTTTGGTAGGTTACAATGTTATTTTTCAACACAATATTTCCTGAGTACTGAATTGAATATATACAGAAATTTTGTAGGACTGAGATTGATGTTATGCTGGCTTTACTCTAAATTAAACTTTGACAAATTTCCATAGCTGAGATGAAATCATGAGTTTTGCTAAAGTAGGGGGGAACTTAATCTGAACTGTCTAGAACCAGAGTTTTTCATGGTTTTGGGTTATGGTAAAATTAAGTAAATGTTGTTGCAGGTCCTCAGTCTTATCTTATGCAAACATAGTCAACAAACCAACAAACAATAGATGGGCTTCAACCAGCACCAAACAGGAAGCTGCAAACTAGCAAAATAAACTTGACAAGGAGGCAAAGGGACATGGGATTCTCTTTTATTCAGGAAAAAGGAGGAGGAACTGCTTAAGTTCTGAAGAGAACAGAATGCCTCTCTAGCATGTGGACCGATTTGGACCATGATAGAGTTGCTGCCTTTGACATACTTGGTTCTTCAGCTCGCTAGCCAACTACTTGGTCTTGCAATTGGTGACCCTGCGAGACACCCAATCTTTAGATTATGACTTCAAGCTCTGTAACTTGCTGACACATTGTCGTTAGATGTGAGAGGCTGTCAGTACCATATGCCAACATAAAACACAAACACACAAAGACATACACACACACACAAATATAGCAAAATACAATTTAATATCCAACATTCTGGTATTGCTCATGCCTGTTATACAAAAGGTTTTTCCAAAATGTTCATCTATTCTGAAAAGGTTATCGTTGTGAAAAGTTGGGCCCATAATTCATGACAAAAACATGGTGATGAATAATCATTTGTGAAAACAGCTGCAAAGGGGCCTCAGGTGACAAACCCCTAATGTTTAATCACTTTGCATAATCCTCAGCGTACTTGGTTGTAATTAAATTTCGGCTTTTGAAAAGGTTGCGCAGGCTGAGTAAACACAAAGGAGTCATGATAAGCAAAAGCAGCTTTTCCAAAGTACATTCAGAAGTTACTCAGGAGCATATCTGCACACAGTTACACAGGATATTGTTTGTATGCATACATATTTCCTAGATACACTGCACTGCTCCACAGCCTCCAAAAGTCATTAATATTATTGATATATGTTTACATTTAACCGTCCTGTTGTTAATGCAGTCCCTCAACGCTCTTCAGGAGACAAGTCATTATCCTGCCTGTGCACAGAGACCAGACAAAATGAACCAAGGATGCAAGCGAGACACCAAATACATATATCATTAAAACGCACTCTCTCTAGCAAACACACACACACACACACACACACACACACACACACACACACACACACACACACACACACACACACACACACACACACACACACACACACACACACAGACAGACACAGTCACTAAAAAGTAATGATGCATGACAGAATAATTTAGTTAGGTGAACGCGCTGTGGGTTTAGAGAATGAAAAGCAACTGAAGGAAAAAAAAAACAATGTGAAATTCTTTAATATTATCATCCAAACACCAAAATCACATAAATAATGTACCTAAATCCCCATGTTGGCAGATTATCCTTCTCTGTGAAAAATGTGTTTCTTATCTTCCAGTATGACCCCTTCCTCTCTCACACAGAGCATATTTCTAATCTGCAGTCAGCGGCATATCAATTCTGCAGACACACTGTTGCTCAGGTAAAAGAGGAGTAAAGAGGTTGTCAATGAGATGCCAAGACAGAGGAGCATTAAAGGGCAACAGCCAAGAGCAGACAGGCATTCATTTTAATCACATGCTTCAGTCAGAATGGGCTGGATGCTGCGAGGAAGAAAAGCAGACTGGTATGAAAAGGATGCATGAATATCGAAAAGTAACAGAAAGATTGATGGAAACAATGTGAGGCTTATGAAGCGTGAAGTGAGGAGAAGTGCTGGAAGAGGAGAGTGAGGAGAGAAGGAAGCAGAAGGCAGCAGTCAGACTAAAGGAGAGTGTTGAAATCTGGTGTGTGTATGTGTGCGTGCGTGTGTATGCGCCTAAGTGTGTGTGCGTAGTTTAAGTAATAAATCACAGACCGCTGGTGATTAGCAGCAGGCTTTATTGTCGCTCATTTAAGAGTGTTTTATCAGAAAAGTGCAACTTTCCGGATACTGTCAAATATTCATGTCTGCAGTGTATATGAATATTAAATATCATAAATTACTGATACGTGCCACATTATTCTCTTTGCGCTTTGTGACGTCTTCTAAAAGAATTCCCTCACTGATGTACTGCCACAGCTCTCCAGACTCAGCACCCGTCTCCCCCTCCGTGTCTCTGTTCAGCTTCACAATTTTGCATCCAATTTGTCATGTGCTGTCTCTCCGTCACCCGCGTCCTCTCTCATGCTGCCGACAGCTGAAGCAGGCTCCTGTTGCAGTCATGCATAACAGCGTTAAGGTGGCTTTACTGGGAGTGTTCTCTTCCAAAGATTATGAAAAGGTCAACCAAAACCATAAACAATTGCAAAATCGATACAAAGAGGACCGTAGTGTGAGGCAGATTGTTCTCAGAGGGTGAGAGAAGCAGTAGCAGACTGCAACTGATCAGATTTATTACCAACCTTTTAACCCTCAGGCCCTTCTTTAAACTGCAAACTAGACTCCTATTCGGATGTGTGAATCTGCTGGTTATTTCCCACAAAATATGCGCTTAGTAAACATACAAGTGTGCATATGCGTGTGTGTGTGTGTTGGCATGACAGGTACTGATATTTTGCCTCAGCTGCCGACACTGCAGAGAAGAAACAGCCTTGAGCACTAATTAGAGCATCTATGATTACTGCCCAGTACCCTTCTCTGCCATCACACACACATACACAAACACACACACACACACACTTTGAATCATAGTCAGCTATATTTAGATAAGGAAAATCAGTGTTTCAGCCAAGACCAATATCAGTCTGGGTTGTGTATGATTAGCATCTTGGACAAGCTTAGTAAAGATTACGAAGTCAGAACTGGAAAACTGCAGTTTAATCAAAGGGTGTCAGGTAAAAGTTGAAGAATTTCTGATAAACTTCTCCTTCCTGTCGTCAGACAGAACAGCTTACACAACCCTTTGGTGTCTCAAGGTCGAGTCTAATTAGATCCAACAGGTGGCCAATGTACCCGACGATATGTCTATATCTGAAGGCTAAGAATTAAGAGTGAGCTTTTCATCAACTTCGTCTGTATGCAGATGATCTATTGATTTGTTTTCATCAAGAACAATCAAGCTACGCTGCAAGATTTTTAAATGTTTTGTGTTTTACTCCCATATTGCTTGCTATGTGAAAGTGGTCATCCATCCATCAGTCCATCCATCCACATTTCTAGGATGGGGTCATATTGTACCTTCTCATCTTCTACCTCCATAAGGCTTCTCAAACTCTAAAACATGATTGTAGGCCTCCTCCAAGTCCACATTGTTCCTCGGGTAATTATTACAGAGTCTCCTTTCTGCAACCTTGGAATAAAGCTTCTCTAAGAAGTTGGGAAGTATTATTCCATAATAATTGGTGCAGATGCCCTCTGGCCTGCCTTTTAAATATTGGGACTACCACACCGTCCTTCCACTTTACAAGCACTGCCCCACACTGATATGGAAAATGAAGAGCCCTGTCAGAACAGTAGAGGTAGATTACAATATTCAGAGCCTTCAGCATCTCAGGGGAAATTGAGTTCACACCTTGTGCTTTCCCAATGAGGAGGTTCTAGTCAACCTCAGCAAAGAGTTCATAAATTCTCATGAATCTTTAAAACCTGCCTCATTATCAGAGGGCTTATTAGTTAGGTTCCTCCTGTTGCACCCAAAATTATGATGATTTGCTGGGATTTTCTTGAGCTGAACCAAAAAATCCTCTCCCATTGATTCCTGGCCCTTCCCAAAACATCTTGTTTTGGCTTTAACAACCACCGAAGCCACAGCCCCTTTAGGCCACCGAGTGCCTATCTTCTGCTTCCAGTTTGCCCCGAGCCTACAAGGGGGATAGACTTCGCAAAATTAAACCAACTTAATCAGTGCTGTTGTTGCCTTTAAGGGTTTTTTTTTTTGTTTTCAATTTTATCCAGTGCTTCCCTATCTGCAAAACACTGTTTGCTGGTCCCTTTCATAAATGAAACTTAACCTGCCAAGTATGTGCTGAAAACAAACTTCTAATTTAACAACCAACAAAGTGATAAAGGGAATCTACTCTGCAGAATGTCCGTGACATTTAAAAATGAAAAATATTAATCAACTCCCTCTTCTAACGTGACAGAAAATTTCAATCATCCTCACAGTGTTTTTGGTGGAGCGTTTACTTAATTGTTGTAAGAGAAAACTATAATATGCAAAAGAGTCCAGCTGCACAAGGCAGGGATTAGAAAAAAAATATTTGTATGCACGAAACCGTGTGGCCATTTGATTAATTTAGTTTTGGTAGAACAGATTCTTGTCATGAAATTGCAGCTTGTAGATTTTCTATATAAGCTCATTCATAGTCATGCACAAAGAGCTGTGGGCTGTGAACATTGATGGCAAAACCTAATAGCCCCTGTCTAGACGAATGCAGGATATCCATTTTTTATTGACAAATGAAATAGAAATATGTATGTAACATGTTGATATGAGTTACTATGTTCCTTAAATTAAAAGCCGCAGATTCACATGAATTGCAATACTGGCAGAAATGGATGCAACATGAATACAAGAGTGTTGTGAAGATAAAATATGCCCTCATGAACTTCCATTTTACTTAATGAGATCTGCAAATACTAGCAAATGTTTGCAGGATGGGTGTTAATCACAGACCAGCTCTCTCAGAGAGAAATTATGCATGGATTATATGTTTATTGTGATGGATTCTAGTCCAGTCTTCATGGTTATGAACTGATGAGTACATCATATGGCTGAGCAGCAGTGTTTGGCGCCAACCTGTCTGGCACTATCATCCTATCATCCTCTGTCATACTAACACTCGCCAGTCATTGCAGATGGCCTGTTCAACTCAGTTCGCATTCTCATATTCATTCATAGGCGCATGCTTTTCAAATAGTCATTAGCTTGTGAAATTATTTCCGTGTTGCTGTCATGCTTATAATTAATTTCATGGATGTCATTGTGCTCAGCAGCTTGCCTGTTTTTCCTTGGCTGTTTGACTGCTGCAGCCTTATAACACAGCCACAGTTCCTTAAGTGCATCAAATGCTGAATGTGCTGTAAAAGAAGGCCTGAAGCCTATGGTCATTTTTCTGTTTTCATTATTCTATTCATCTCTTCAGTTTCTTTAATTCTTTGGCTTCACTTGTTTGGGTCTTCATCACTAAAACACGAGTATTAAATCACTATCATTTCAGACTCATACTGTTAATTTGGTTTATTTTGAAGACCATGCACCATCTGCAAGCAGGTTAAAGGGCATATCATGTCACCAAACATAATACTTGACATTTTTAAGAAGCTATAGAGCTCTTCAGTGAGGATTGTGGCAGAAGAGGCAGACATATTGCAGTACATATTGTAAAAGCATGAAGCATTGTGAATGACAGATCAGGTGCAACTACAGTGAAGTTTGATTGAAAGACACATTCAGAAACCTGTGAAAGCACAGATCTCTTTTATTCCAGCTTGGATAGAGGATGAAACAGAGATAAAAGGCAGGGTCAGACATGCAGCACACTTATTCAAAGTGACCATCAAAACATTGTGGTGAGAAGGGTTACAAAACATTACACAGAGCACCTGGAGGGCAAAAAACTGGAAATCCTTCTCCTGCTGTACCTGGCTCAATAAAAACAGTGATTCACCCATTGATAAAATAAAAATGAGATTAAACTGTTTGATCGAAATAAACTAAATTAAATCAGTATAACAAGCAAAGGTCACTGTGGTATTTGCCTGAAAACGTGTGTCCAAAATTTGACTGGTGCTGTGTTTTGTTTAAGAGTCATAAAGAACACTGTAAAATGGGAAAGTACACAGTAACACTTCAGATTAAGCGAAGGAAATCAGGTTGCTTTTTGACAAACTAAAAAAAAAAAAAAACAGGAGCTTCAATAGTTACTGAATTTGCCACAAAAACCCTAATTTGCTTCTTTCCCATCTTTTTTTGACAGTCATGAAGACTTTGGCGGGATTTAGCGGGATCTCTCACTGTGAAATGTAACCATGACTGACATCACCTTTTGGTAAGTGAATCAACTCTTTAAAGTTTAGTTGTTTTTTTCCACCAGATTAGTATTTGTAACCAAAGTGACCTAATTTAAATGAAAGGGTATATATCCAGTCAATCAATCAGTCTTTATTTATATAGCAGTTTTCACATACAACCATGTAGGACAAAGTTCTTTACACAGAAAAAGGAAAAAAAAAGAAAAAAAGAATACCCAAATCTACCCCAGCCCAACCCCTCATTCCTACCCCACGATCTAAATGCAACAGAAACAGTATTAAAATGCATTAACTTAAAAAGGGCTTGATTTTGTGGAAACAGGAGTATGCACACTGAGGAAACGTCATTTTAAAACTCAAGATAAGGAAACACTGAACGTTTAGGTTAAAATCAAGTAGTATAGAATGAAGTTGAAGAAACAATAAATAAAATGAAATAAAAACAACAGAAAAAGATGCTAAAATAAGAGCACAAAAATTGCTCAATAAAAGACGAACCTGTCATCAAAACTAGAAAGAGATAAATGCTAAAACACTTCAACAAAGTTAATAATATAAAATTTAGTTAAAAGGAAGACTAAAAAGGTACATTTTCAGTTTGCTTTTAAAATCATTAAGGTTAGGTGCAGTCCTCAGGTCTTCAGGTGAGCTGTTCCATAGACGGGGGCCATAGTCATAAAAAGATGCCTCATATATGTGATGCGATTAGCAATGTCTTCATAACTTCTGACAGTTTGCTTGACTATGTAAACAGTGTATAGTTAGACACTTAATTGCTGCTCTTTTGGAGGAGCTGTGTGTCAAAGGCTTGTTAGCTAGCCACCCATGTCTGGGTGACGAGGTGGTGCTGTGTGATGCCAGTGTAAGGGCAGCTGGTCCAGCTGGTCCAAAAACGGAAAGACCAGATTGCCATATTTCTGTTCAGTCTGAACAATCTGCAAAGGTGACAAAGTCTCAGTCCTTTAACGGATACAGCCTGTGAATTGGGACACAGCTATAAATTCATGTTGGAGGTAAACTTTTTTCATTATCATTTAATGACATCTTTTTAAGGGGGGATTGTTGTAGATCTCATGGCAATCCTTCACTAGTTTATTCTTTTAAAATGTACCAAGTATGGTAAAGGCATACTGCAACCCAAACTGGAGTGTGTTAGTGAAAGCTGCGCCAGATCTTTAACATCCAGTCTGCTGCAGAGTGATGGAACAGATATTTATGAGGCTGGTGTTTTATTTTCAGCTGAGTTTAACCTTTTTCTTTCTCAGAGGCTGATAATATCACTGTCCGAGGGCCCTTTTTCAGCAGCCTCAGTAAGAAAATTTCTTATGTCAGCTGTTTTATCATATTTTCTCTTCCCTAGCTTACAAACTAAAAGTGATCTCTGACCTTGCGTGCCCAGCATTGACCCACACAGAACTAAATCATTAAATGTTTTTTATTCAAACATTGGCTGAGACGCAATTGATTAAAAAATAACTGTTTTGATTTTAACTTTAAACGAAAATAATAACAAAACGATCCTAAAGCCTAGTACTGGTTTGAGGGTGGCGGGTGGGTATTGTGGACTCCTGGGCTAAAGCGTGAGTGTGGAGCGGGCCCTCCGCAGCACTTACCGCGACACTTGTTTAGGGGCTGCCTTCTGTTGCCATCATGTAGCATTGCTGTCTACAGCCATTTCTTGATCTCTTCGACCACTTAACGAAAATTGTGATACGCCTCGCCGGTAGCGGATTTAAAGGTGAGGAGAGGAGCTGATGTGATTGGTGAAAACAGGACTCGGCTGTGTTAAACCCACTCCATGCCTTCTCTCCTCCCTCTGTACGACTTACGCCGCTGGGAGGAGCTGAGTTAGGGAGGGGGGATACTTACGCCGAGCAAAATACCAAAATATGCTTGGGCACACCTTGTTTGCGCAGCAGACCTGACTTATGCTGCGCCTGAGCCACGTTGCCAGCATGAAAATAGAGCCCCTTTTGCAACCAGAAAGGTCGCCCCCTGCTGTCTACTTCTGTAAACAGTCTGTGAGTGTAACTCTGCATACACTGTTTGTGAGGAATAGAAAAGAGGCAGCTGAGTTTAGCTGCTTTGACATGAATACAGTTGTATAACAAGAGAAAACCACTTATGAAGTCGTGCATTTATATTGTATGCTGGGGATTTCTTCAACATGTAACATGGAGCATCCCTTGTTGTTTCAGTGTAGCACTACTCAAGCACAAGGATATCTCTTCATTGTCTATTTGCATGGACACTGGAAATATGACTTGTCTGGATAACACTTTGGCAAATTACAGCTTCTGTTAAGTTTATTCACAAACTACATTAAAACTTCAAGTTGAAGTGTAGTTTGTTCCACAAAACAGCATCTCCAACACTGATCCTCCAAGCCATTATTAAAAAGTCATGCTTCTGGTTTAGCTTGTCTGTAAACAGCTTTAACACCAGCTTTCGTACTTTTCTCTAGTTTGGAGGGTCCCCTGGGTACAAACCAAGATGTGAGCGAATGTTGAACAAGATGATAGGATACTACTTAAATTCAAAATTAAGACCGTTGTGTAAGAGAGAAGGGGGGAGAATGAAAAACAGTGTAACTAGTGGAGATCAGTCTGCTGTTTTTGGCACCACTATATCAGAACAGTGTGCGCCCAGGGCCTCCTTCAGCAATCAGAGTCTAGATGGATGACTGGTCTGGGAAAGTGTTGGGGCTTTACTGAAGTGATGGAAGTTGGAGTCATGGAGTGCTTGTCTCACACTCAATGACACACACTGCTGCACTTAGGATGTCATGTCAAACTCCTTAGGTCCTCAGAGAAAACTGCAGTGTTTCCGTGACTGTTGGGCATTCATTTTGCGAAGCACATGGTGGATGGCAGCTTGTTGCACTGGCACAGTGTAATCTTGGTTCGATGACACATGTATTTTTGACAGTTTGACAGCATTCAAGTGCCACTGTCACACCGACTGAAAAACTTGACAGTTCTTGGTGTTGATAATACTGTGTCTGGAAAAGAGTAGTTCAAGCAGGTCCTAAAACTTCCCACAAACCTTGTTTTTAAATCAATAAATGTCAACAGTGGAGCCATCTTTATGAACCATGTTGTAATGGCAATGTTAAAGGCCAGGGGGCTTCAAATGGAAGGCCCGATCATCCAAGTATCATGAACCTCTGAATATCTGTTTTGTTGTTTAAAGCTTCTGTTGTTTAAAGAATTTTTGAGTGGATATAAAACAGACTGAAATGATCAGTGGTGAGTCCCTACTAGGGTTGCAGAGGGGCGGAAAATTTCTGGACAATTTCCAGAAACTTTCCATGGGAAGTTAAGCTGGGGCGTTTTGGAAATATTCCAAATTGGACACTTTCCATGGAAATTATAGAAATTATGAGAATTTATGAGAATTATTTGGAATTTATGGAAATTAACTAGAAATTGGGGGTAATTTATACAAACATCAATGTAAATATTTTTGTTTTGTCATAAGAAGACATCCATGCAAAATAATGCAATTAAAAAAAACATTTCAACTGATTTATTTGAGTGGCGATGGCGAACGTGGCATTTTTCTGTAGAATAAAATAACAAAAAAGCTTGTAAAAACACTAATGCAATGGTATGAACAGAAATGTAGTTAGCTAAACAACTGGAATAGTCTTCAAAGTATTTCACATTTGATGTATTGTATGGTGACAGAAAACCGTCTTGCAGGAGTCAGAAGAAACAACATCACATTTGAGGCAGTTACCACCACCATAATAAGCTAGCTGCTTAAATAGTCAATAGCTTACATTTAGCACCTATTTTTATTAAATTTTTGCAAGTTAAATATTAATACATTATTGATCAAATATATAATATAAGTTCCCTGATGTGGGCCAACCTTCAATTTTGTAAATTTCAGATTTATTCCCATTAATTCCCATGGAAAGTTTCCTACTTTGAAAATTCCCAGGATTTTGCAACCCTAGTCCCTACGATGTGCAAAGCAACTAAGATCATTCATAGCAGGCCTGACAATTACTATACTGTAACTTCTATTGTCTGTAACTGCTGTGAGAAGAAACAGCCTTACTTTACAGCCTTACAGCAAATATTCACTGTGAGTGATAAAGTTCACAGCAAAAAGACGACAGGACAAGAGTTTTTGTCATTTGGCAACACTTTTACAGAGATGACACAAAATCAGTTACAAGACTTATGAGTTTGTCAATAGGGGGTGCCAAAGTTAACGCAGAAAGTTTCTCACTAAAGCTTTAATCAATAATGAAAGGGGAGGACAAATTTAATACAGAATGACACCCTACGCTTTACTTTGTTTTGTTTATGAGTTGGAACGTGGCAGTCAGTCAGTTTGCAGGTTTAGCCACCCCAGTTCAAAAATTCTGTACACCTCTTTTGCTAAAGATGCCAGCACCCTGTAGTCCTTTAAGACTTACTGTATGTGAGCCATGCTGTTCTTGTTGCAAAGCTGTCACTGCAGCATACATTTGACACAAATTGTAACAAAAAATTTCCTTTTGTAGATAACTGTTCTCTAAGAGTGGGGTAACTCGGTAAACTGGCGTGTTATCCCATCTCCATCTAGACTAATTTCATCTCAGATGCCGTATACAAGCTTACAGTGTTTGTTCTCATCCAGCACACGGATATCAGTTTCCTCCTCTCAGCAGCTCTCATAGCAGGATCATTCCCTTTAACGTGCTTTTGGTGAAGAAATTCAGGCAATTTGCAGCCGGTGATGCAAAGCTCTCACATACCAGATAAGTGCATTTCTACTGATCTGATCTCTGCCATGAGAGACTCATTTCCTTTGTAGTGTTTCACTCCATAAGCCCATGTAATGCACCTTATTCTTCAGAAACCACTGGTCCTCTTATGAACCAAATAGATTTTTGCACTTTTCTATGTTTCATTAAATATTTATAGCATTAAATTGATGCTAATTAGGTGTCTTGACAAACAGCAGTTTACTTTGTTCCCCTTTCTTTCTATTTACTGGTTTTATTTTACTTATGGACTTTTGATAACTTCATTTGGAGGATTGAGCAGTTTTGGTTTCTACAGTTTTAGAGCTGCAAATGTGGAAATACATAACATGACAAAAAAAAGTTTTCCAAAATATACATGACACAAGATTTTTTGACTTGTGCCCTGTGAAAAAACTTTTTGATCTGTCTTTAAAAGTACTCAGGATACTTGAGTATTCCTAAAAACAAGTACTGCAGTACTCAAGCAATAATTTGATTGTGCAGCTTTTACTCATATTCGAGTAATATTACAGCAGGAGTATCTATACTTAGACTCAAGTTATGAAGTTGTGTATTTAGCCCAACACTCCACATTACTTGTAACACTGATGAAAATGTGGTTTTACCAGTTAATCAATTAAAATGTTTTCATCAGCAAAAAGCTTAAATTAGTCAATGCCTGACTTAAAATGCAGCCTGATCAATCCAAATGAGTTTCAGTGGTTAATTTTCTGACACCTAAAAAAGCATTTCCTTCATGACTTTAACACAACAGCTGCTGTTCTTGTTTGTTGGTTCACTGAAGCTCATCCAGCTAGCTTAATAGAAAATAAAAGAAAACTCAATTACTCAAAGCTACAGATAAAAATGTCAATAATGTTGAGAATTTTTCCTCCTTTTTCTCGAGTGGGGGTATACGGTTAGGTTGTGCTAAATTTAAATCTATAGTGGATTTGATTATTTATTTTATTGTGAAATAGAGACAAGAGGCCTTTATTGTCAATGGGAAATTGTAGGGATCTAATTTTAGCTGTGAGGTCTGGAGCGGTGAGTCACAGGATTGCGTTTGAACAGATAAAAGAGCCATCTGTGAGCTTCTGTCACAGATATTCAGTCAGGTTTTTTTGCACATCTTTGTTTTTTGTTTTTTTAGGCTAGCAAACGGCTGTTGATCTGTCCATGAAGGTGACAGTCTGTTCACTTGTTGATTATAGATCTGTTTTTGGATACATGTTCAGCACAGAAGCAGCATTCAACACTTGAAGCCAATTCTGATTTAGCTTCAAAGAACATGAACATTTTTATATGTTAATTTTGTAAATGGCTTTACATCCACGCCTTGTTTGCAAGCCTATTTTAGGGCTTTTGAATGTCTGTATGGATCCTCTCCAGTGTATGTTTCTCCTGCCTGTTTTACATATATTCTGTTTTTAACATGTTGTGACTCTTTGAAGATTCACATGCAGATTCAGGGACAACTTACAAAAGCTCCCATCGCTCTCGGCTTTCCCGCTTTTGTTGACCATATTCTCTTCATGTTGTCATAGCGCCTCAGTCCACTGTTTGCCCTTCTTCTATTGCACAAAAACTCTGGTGACGCAGATATAATGAGCATCCTCATTTAATGTGCTCCTATATGTTGTGCACCCTGTGGGGAAAAAAAGACTAATAACCACTTGAGAGAAACCTCAGCTCAAGGAGTGTGTGTGTGGTGTGCTCGTGTGTGTGTGTGGTGTGCTCGTGTGTGGGCAGAAGACTCGGAGTAGACTTAATGGATATTGCAGTAGATAATGGTGATTTAGAGAGGCAGAGGGCTGTATAGATTGTGAACAAAGCTCATTTACTATCCATGATCCTTTTTATGGCACACTCCCTTTATGACACTGCATCTCCACAAAGCCATAAGTCATCATACAACTGACATGCGTGGTCACATATAGAGAGCCAAGACCTGGTCGATAACACAGTATCAGATGAAATCTAATATAATGAGTACTGGCATCACTGTCCCCTTCATTAGAGAGGAGCAGACAATTACAGAGAGGTTACACAAATGAGACAGCTTAAAGATAAGACACCAGCCATGATTTGCTATCACAAGCACTTGCTAGAATGGAGACAAAGTATTATTACCCAAGGATGAAGAACATGTCCCAGCATTTGGAATCAACTATACTATTGTTTTCACACAGTTTTTTTTTATTATCACCACTCTTTGTTAACAAGGACTTTATTGGTCAAAACCCAATAACCAAAGTTTCACTAGTGAGTAATTCTCCACAACAAATGAGACTTTTGATCAAGAAAAGTCACAGCCAACCAATCTGCAAACAGAAGTCCAGCATATTTCACCTCTGTCTGTTGACGCTGTGGCAAAACCAATACCATTTGTCAATATTCTCAACTGGTATGCTAAACAACAGAAAGGATGAGGTTGAAATCCATTCCTGTCCTGCAGCTAAAGCAACAGCAGCAGAGCTTGAAGATAGTTATGAAGTAAATTAAGCCACAAGTGACAATAATAGCAACATTATTAAAAGTCATTGTATCTGCCTCATTTATCTTTATAGGTGAGCTAATGACGTGACTCTGAAAAGAAACGGGAGCTGGATGAGGACAGAAATCTCAACCTAAATACTCACGTTCACCTTGTTCAGCAGCATTTATTTTACAAATGATAGAGTTCTATTCTGTTCTATTCTACTTAACCCGTTAGTTTTGTCGGTCAAAACTGGAAAATTATCACCTGTGGTATACCCGAGGACTTGATTCTTGTCCCCCTCCAATTCCCACTACACCAGAGAATAATATAATTTATAATATGCTGAATATTTTTCACAGTCATGCTGATGACACACAGCTATGTATGCCCTCAAGATATAAAAATCTCAAACAACACAGAAAATTTCATTCTTGAGCCCAACTTTTTATTGCAACTGGAGCTCATATCAGCAGGTACAGACAGTTGCAATCCTGCTTTCGTAAAGCTTAAAAAAAGAAAGGAATAAGAATATAAAAGTTTTTGAAGAGCCGGTCAATTTATTAGTTTACTGATCTAGACAAAACATTTATGCTTTGATTTGATTTGTTTGGTCTACCCCATGTCTGCATGTCTGCCCCAAAAATCAATAAAAAATCTCCAGCTTATCAAAAATATTGTAACAAGACAGTTTCAGGGTTTTGCTTTATCTATTTGGTTTGATTAGATTTGCTGCTTTATCTGTGAAGTTAGTAAATAAATTTTGGACTCGCCGAGTTGCAGTGACTTTTATCATCGTACAGCTCTTGCCTCTAAAGAGAGAATATAACCCCTGTCCTGGCACAGCTGCTCAAGCTATCTGTTGGAATCAGAATTGATTTTAAGATTTTACTGATTACTTTGAAAGCACAAAAAGGTCCCTGGTTATAGCTCCAAGGTTCGCTATCTCGCTATCTCATCTCTGAGAGATAGTGGCTCCAGAGTGCTGAGAATAACAATGACTGAAACCAACACAGGTTTGAGGCTATAAATTCTGGCATTTATTAATGAAAAACCAAAATGTCAGCCGCTCCAATGCACACACTCTCAAACACACACACACTTCTTAATTTCCCTTTTTCCTTATCTCAACAAAATGCATAAGAAATCTACGGTCAGGTCCTTTTTTCCAGCTGTCTGTGTGAAAGAGAAAAGGGGATATGAAAAGAACAATAACCCTCAATGATTGCTTCTTTGATTTTCTTTCCACTAGAAATTATTACATCCATCATCTGCCCTCATGCTGCTACAAAATACCAGAGCTAAAAAGGCTGCAGTGCAGCGCTGCTGACATTACATTTTCTCAAATTATTCCCTCAGATTTAGATGGCTGTGTTTTGAATGTAGTTTCCATCTCTTAGTGTCCTCACTCTGCCTACAAAGAAGGTATTCGGGGGATGTGTGCTTCAGGTCATGATCAAAAACACTTCCATTCTGCTGATTCTATCTATCTATCTATCTATCTATCTATCTATCTATCTATCTATCTATCTATCTATCTATCTATCTATCTATCTATCTATCTATCTATCTATCTATCTATCTATCTATCTATCTATCTATCTATCTATCTATCTATCTATCTATCTATCTATCTATCTATCTATCTATCTATCTATCTATCTATCTATCTATCTATCTATCTATCCATCTACCTATCTGACTCTTTCCCATGGACTTAAAAAATAGCAATAAATAACCAAACTAAGTTTCAAGCAGCATAACCAGGTAAATTTTCCCCTCTGTGGTAACGCAGAACAACAGAAAGGAACATCTTGGGCTGTTCAATCATGGAACTCATCTGCAATCATCTCCTATTATTGTCTGATAACACTCTGTGTTTTGTGCCTCTGGGAGGGGATACCAACTTTCCAGTAATTCCGCTACAGCTGCCAGCAGCGTGTATTCAACCATCTCCAGATAAGATATCCTTTCTTTGCGGTGTAAGTGACGTGACTAGCATTTTATCTTGGCCCATTACATCTCATGGAGTAGCACTCATTCATCTGTATTCATTAAATGAGTCCCAGCTCAACAGTAGACGGTAACACGGGGGCTTCTCCAGCAGAGCCAAGGAAAAGCCCATTTTGTTCTGATTAAGTTACAATGATTAGGTCTTAAAATGTAGACCATGTTAATGTATGTCCCAAAGAGAAAGATCAAGCTTTTAAAATGCTTGTCTATTGATTGGAGGTCTGATTGATCATTTCTGACACACTCCAGGTTGTCAAGAGCTGATCTAACTGATTTTGTTTTGCAACAAAGCATCAAGCACCTTAATGACAACAATGAAATGTTTGATCTGGAATATATTGTCACTTGCATTTTCCTAAAGACACCTGGTTGGACAGATAAATAAATCATTATAAGAATACCACTGATGAGACTCAGGATGGCATTACTATGATGAGCGATCTGCTTGCTTTTGCTCCCCATTCTGGCTGTTTTTTCCTGCATACACCAAAGCCTGATGACCCATGATTGGTCAATACTAAGTGGACTAATGTCCAACAAACAAAAAAGAGAACACGTCTAGACCCTGAGTAAATTGAGTGTCAAAGCTGTCCCCCATTACTGGTTTCAATCTATCTCAACCCCCACAACTGGATTATTTGGACTACTTACCTGGTTTTAAACCTGCTGCTTTTTCAGCAGTATCTCCTGCTTGCACATTGCTGTCCTTGCACAAACCAAGAGTGTGTAAGTGTTACCTCTATGTCACGCTCTCCTACTCCTTAGCTCTGTTCGCTCAGTCTGAACCCATCTGCAGTACAGAGACTCTGCAGGCTGAAACCTACAAATTGAGCTGGACAGTGTCAATACTTGCCTCTTTGTCTCTTCTTGCCAATATTAAAGTGAAGGGCATGACTGGTTATCCTTGATTTTATGTGTGCTGCGTTCAGATTTTTCACCTAAAGCACTTCACAAATAAACATGATATACACTTTACTTTGTAGTGCTAATAAAATGCCTCTGAACCCTTTCTCTTTTATTGATTTTATTTCCCCTCTCTGATATGCAACAACTGATGTCATTTGCTGAGTTCTCCATATTGGGTTATCTACATTAATTCACTTTTCCACAGAGCAATAATTTGTTCCGCCTTGTTTTGAAGTCAACCCTGTAATATGATGCCATTTTTGGGGTGCCTGGCATCAGCTCTGAAATGTCACCGGCTGCATATTTATAAGCTCAGGACATTTCAAAAACGGGGCTCTCTCCTGAGTAAAACAACAAATAACATCAGTTTTCCTGTGAGCTCAGATGAAGTTTAATAAAAAGACTTTATTAAAGGTCATCTCACTGCCAAAAAAAGAAAAAAAAAACAGAGGGGCTTATATCATCAGCACAGGTTTTTTTTTTTTTTTTGGAGTAGCCAGTTATTGAGAAAAGTATCAGTACTAGTAAAATATTTGCATTAGATTTTAATATACAGTCTTAATTACACTTGACGGGCCACATATCATCTTGGTCTTTGAAAAGGCTTAAATATACTCTATCGAGCATTTACTTCTCAGGCAGTCTGCAGTAGTGTTGTGTCATTCGTGAACGATTCGTTCAAAAGAACTGAATCTTTTAAGTGAATGTACTGGACCAAATTTCTTTAGTGATTCGTTCGTTTCTCACATCAGTTGAGCTGAAGAGAGAAATGAACAAACGACAAAACTACCTTTTTTTTTCACTGCTAAATTGCCACCACAACAACTTGCATACAATAGGACACAGCATGTAACAAGTAGTTCATTAAACTTGCAGCATCCTATCATTGCAGTGGTTTGTGAGGGAACAGTGCATGTTCAGTGTGAATTCTTCTAAATGTTAAGTGAACGAATCACTCACTGACCCCAATTTACCGAGCAGACTTGATAAATAGCATACCGTAGAACAAAGCAACACAGCCAAACACTCTTGTCTCCCGGTCCCAGAAGCTATGAATTGATCTGAATCCTGAACTGCTCAGCTCTGTATCAGTTCAGGAGGTTGGAGTCGCAGACTTCTCCCACCAAGCACTAAATGATTCAGTGATTTGGTGAACGAATCTTTTGAATGAATCTTTTTAGTGAATTGATTCTAGTGATTTAGTACATCTAAAAGAACTGCTGTGCCCATCACTAGTCTGCAGACCTCTTCTAACTCAAGTCCAACAAAATCTTTTGCAAGTTCCTTCTTCAACAGTTTACTTCACTTTTAGAACTAAAAGATTCAGAATCCCCAGAGGATGTCCACAAATGACTTTGGTAATGCCTTTACATTAGTACAGCCAGCATATTTCCAAAGCATCACCACTATCATGTGCAGCAGAAACATAGCAGTATGTTTTGACAGGCAAATTAATTGACAGCATCATTCCTCTCTTTTTTTTTTTGCTCCATCCAAAAGGTTAACTTGCCAGGTTCTGAATTTTTAATACTTGTGTCTGCTGCTGCTGCTGCTGGATACCAACATCAAGCACAGCATCAGAGCACAGCAAAGTTATCACTGTGAATGCAGTCTGAGTGTCACCTGCTTGCAAATTTGCAAACAACACTGCTGCTGTCACAGATAGTGTCAAGCTGCTGGAGACAGGTGTACTTATCCTGCGACTTTGAATCAGCTGCAAAAGGATTTGGGTTCGCGGGAGCTGTTCTTTAAATGTTTTTAAAAACAGATTGAAGACACTGGAGGAAGGCAAACAATCAAAATTTGACACAAAGGTGACCTAATTTGACTTTGAGAGCTTTTGCAGCTAGCCTGAAGGACCTGCAGTTTTTAGCACCTCTGCATCAGCTTTATTTCTCATCAGGATGCCACCTGGTTTTCCATAATCATGCAGCACAACCTGATGTTTTGGCTTGCACATCTGACAGGTTCAATTATATCCTTTGTGTCTAGGACCAAATCCATGCAACACAAAGAAGAATCCAAACAGCCCCAGCTGTGCCTCTATTACACAAAAAAGCCTCCTAACACACTCGACAAAGACAGTTTATAACTGTAATTCAGTTATGAACAACTCAGTGTTGCGCATGTTGCTGAAAATTAATTATTGGTTACAATTACTTGTTACTATCAAGGAGTGGCTGAATTACTAGGTTGCTCAATTAAGTCAGTAATCAGTAACTCACTTCCTCTAGCTTCAGTACTCTTAGTGTACCCTGCCTCATGTCTCACCATTGTTTTGGTAGACATGGTAGCTGTTGACATGTTAGCAAACATGGTAGCTTCAAGAACAGTGTCTTATAGTTTTGTGGAGGGCTCATCACATCAAGCGCGAAGCGATTTTGCGACTTTCCGGGGGGAAAAAAAGACGTGTCCCGGGTGGAAGCGAGAAGACTGACACAACAGCAGACTGACAGTTTTTCAGTTCTGATTAGACACTAGTGTTGAGATGTCTGTCTGTCATGATAGCATGTACTGAGTCGGGGCCAGTACCAGATAAGCACATTAAACTATGATCCATAAACGTAAGGTAACAACTGAGACCTAACAGCGCTGTGACAGCAACGGGATTGAGTTTGAGACAGTGAAAATACATATGGTATGTTGTACCTGAACAGGTTAGCTTACAAGCTAAAGTTACTTAGCATAGATGAAAGTTAAAACAAAGACGTCATATGAAAAATTCGGCGCTATGACTCTCCACAAGTTGTCCTTCAGGTCGTTATCTTTGTAATATTTGTGTTTTTTTAATCAAAAAGCACTCTGTTTTCCGACCCGAAAACAATCAGCCGGTCGGCCATGTTGGATATACCGTTGAATCTGACGTCGCGACAACACGAAATCTGATTGGTCAGTAGTGGACACAGAGCATGCGAAACTTTAGAAAAATCGACCGTGATCTGAAAAAATAAACGCCTCAATATCGCAGGACATGCTGATGTGAGCGCTTGTATTGACAGGATACCGTTAAGAAAAAAAAATATTGACGTCCGAAATAATCGCACGAAAACAATGTTCCTTAAGTCAGCTTTACAGAGTCACAAGCATGTTTGTAAATTATTTACTCTGCATCATGAAAGACAAACAGGTTATTTATTGTCAGTAAATGCTCACGGACAGGAACAAAAATCAATGTAAAATCAAATAAATCTTGATTTAACATTGAGGTGAAGTGAGTGTATCTTTAAAAATCTTACCCAGGGGTGACTTTATGATTATGTTGGGTCATTTTCATGTCCGCTGAGAGTAAACCAATTAAATCTAGATACAGCTCAACACATGTGTTGACACAGTACAGTACAGTCTGTACTGTTAGAGTGGCTCAGCTGTCGGCATCATCTTGAAGAGATTTTGCTCCCCGGTGCATATCTAAAATTACGGCTGCTATCTAAAGCAATTATAGCTGTAGGGGAGGGTGTTAAAGTGTTAAAGCTTGGAGAAATGCTCAACTTGGACTGGAACCTATCTCATGAATATAAATCTTCTTATTAGACGGCCGTTTGAATGCAGGGTCAAAGGTGTATCCTGTGCTGTATCTATTTATGAAAAATGATGACATAGCAGCATGATTTCAGTGCAAGTGGAGGGTTATTTTTCAGCTGTCTCGTCACTATAACCCACTTTAACACACGCAAATGCTCACAGAAATCCAAGACGTTAATGATCTCTTGTAAAATTTAATAGCGACATTGATTTCCTGCTGTTTCAAACAATAGGCCTCAGTGGTGTTGAGTTAAAAGACTTTGTGGCCGGATGGGGAGCAAATCTAATTCAAAGCCTCTTTCCCCATAAGCTTTTTATTCTTCAGACCAAGGAGAGAGGTTTCCCAAGTGGTTTTGCTCAAGTTGCACACAACCAGTCATCTGTTATGCCATAATGATGTAACAAAACACAGGAGGGAGGATCAAGTGTGTCCAGCAAAATGCTTTTGTCCCCATTTAGTCTTTTTCCGAATCCATACGCTTGATCATACCTGTTTAAAAATCTTCCTACACTGCACTTTTATCTCTTCATCTCTCGCTTCATCCTCTTAGTTTTTCATTTTACAGATATACCCAACATTATTGGATGTCTTTGATGCATGAAAGGACTTGACTTAACTTTGAATATAAAAAAGAAATCTGCCTTCTCTTCTCGAGGACGATCTTTCACTCTCCTGGGATCTCTTTGTTCCTTTATAGTCAGAGGCCCAATGAGCCCTGCTTTAATGGCTCCTATAGATATGCACAGCAGTATCAGCAGCATATTTTCGCTACAGATGTTATCTCAAGCTGGCTAGTTTCACAATGGTAGGTACTAAAAGCGCCACTAGGAATCCCTGTTTTTTTGTGTTAATCAACAAATTTCAATGCCACGATTAAGTTGTGTTTTGGCTTTACTTTTGGCTTTAATTTCCCTTCCCAATACAGTTTGTGTAAAATTGTACCTTTTATTTCAATGCTCTGGCCAGAGAAAGACATTATCCCATTTGAGCTGAATATTAAGATAACAAATACAGCACTAAGTGTGTTTTGAAGTACACAGCAAACTGTTTGGAAAATTGTGGACAATATTTTTAAAGCTTCATTGGGGAAGTCTTAAACAGGTGATGAAACAGTTTGATACTGAGTTTAAATCTGTTTTCTGAGCCCCAACAGAGATCATTAATGGTGAGGTTAACAATATCTCTGTTTTCATTCACTGCAGAGGGGTGGTGCCATCAACATCATGTCAAAAAGAGTATTTTATTTTAGATTATCCATGCCAAGATTTGTTGTAAATTCAAAATGACATATTTTGAGTGAATTTTTTTTTTGTTTGTTCTCTTTTTTTATACATAGATACAGGACAAGTTCTCCTAAGGCATGCATTATTCTGAACCCTTATTCTGTCCTCAGGAGGGAAACAAAATTGAACCAGCCTCTTTCCGCTCTAAAGTCAATGTGAAAATGAGCACAAAAGCTTGATTATAAAGATATTATTGTATGCAGGCCCTTTAAAAATGTCTGGACATCCTTGGGTCTCAGGTGGCCCAGCGGTTTAAGCCCCATGTATTGAGGCTACATCTTAATTACAGCGGTGGCTGATTTTACTCCTGGACATGCATAACGTTTCCTCCTTTTTATCTCCTACTCTCTACTTTCCACAGTATCAGTCTCTTGTCTGCCGAATTATTTTGCCATGTTCATGCAACAAATCTGTGACTCGAATTTTTTTTAACAAAATGTATCTTGGTTGATGTAAAGACAACAATTTTCAGGGGAATTAAGATGCAAAATCATATACAAGGACTCAGTATAAAAGCCAAAGGTGCATTTTTGCTTTGACAGTTATTGATATCTTACCAATGTGGGAAACAGCAAAAACTGCCAGAAGGAAACAATGCAGCTTCAACAACATCCTCTGTTGAGGGTCTGTGTGTGATAAATTAGAGGTATCTAGTATTGATTGAGTGTTAGTAGAAGAAAAATAAAGAAACAAATGCAGGCATTTTGATGGATGACAATTTACTCCCCTGGACATTTGTGTGAATTTATGGCAGTTTGAACATTTAAAGAAGAGGAAGGGGAGGGAAGCAGCATAGAAGACCTATTAAATCCCTAACACAGGCTCCGGTTGAACCAGAAAGGTCAGGGTCCTGTGGTGCCACCATTGTATTCTCCATCAGCTGACTTATTGATTGACTGAATCCCCATTTATCACTCTTTTAGGCTGGTAAATGATTCTTTGATGCTTTTTCTCACCTATTTTTTAAAAAACCATTATATTGGCATCCCACCTCCCATCGTTGCGCACAAGATGAATGACCACACCCATGTATTCTCAGCTGTGATTTACCACCAACAATCTAACCAAACCATGTTTTTATACACTGCATTGACCATGATTCATTGCAAAGGTTGACACACCATAGAGTCACAGTTTGTATGTGCCAATGCACACTAAATTTAAAGCCACTCGGGTCTGTGGCCTTGGCAGTTAGATAAAACTACCGCACTCAAGAGCCAGCTAATGTTGCTTTGCTATTAGCTTCACTGACAGAGGGTAGTACTGGAGACAAATGAGCAGCCAAGCTCTCTAAGTGTAACATCAATAAAGAGACATTAATAACCCTCTCATACTATCAGTGCCACGGGAGTGCACTGATGACCTTTGAATGAAATATGTTTTAATAATCATAGATACATGCAGGGCCAAAGAGATGTCAGGAAAAAGTGGGCTAATGATTGAATATAGTGTCTATAAGGTTCTTTTTTTTAAACTTAAATTTTATTAGCATTTTTTAAACATAAAAAAAACAAGATATACGGGCAATCAGAGAAAGATATGAATAAAAACAAACAAACACAAAACATAATGGTGTCATTCACAGAGAAGAAAAGAAAATTGTCCATGTAGCCTTCATCAAAGTTGTCCATTTTTTTAAAGTAATGTGAATAGATTTATATTTGTTCCATTTAGTTATTTAGTTCCATCTGTAAAGTTCTGATGTACATTTCAAATATCACAGTTAAGACATTTGAGTGTGTCAGTTTTGTTTCTGCACCTCTGAGCTGAAGAAGTGTCATCTTCACTCTTTTAGCTAGAGTCATTGTCGTGTTACCACAGACGATGCATGATGCATACCACATGCCCTGAGATTCTGCAGCATATAAAATCTCTCCATTATCCTAAACCAGGATTTACATAATTACACACAGCAGCAGAAATCCCGCTTTTGTATACATAACCCTCTACAGAGTGGCATTCTTCATTCATAGACAAAATATTCATAGATTTTGCAGGAGCAGTAGGAAGCAAAAACATCATTGTAGGGGTTTCACTCTCATTCAGGCAGGGAACCCTCACAATGACACAGACTGCAGCATAATGTGATCGGCAGGTATCCTCTGATCCAGAAAAGTCCTGAAACACTTGTTACCAAGTCCTGCTCATGACTCCATCAGCCCTGGACATGGGATCTCAGTTTGAACACCCGCACCAGCAGCAGTTTGAGGATATTTCCTTCTTTCCATTTATCACAGGAGTTTCGCCTCTCTTTTTGTCACTCTTTAAAGATGGACACTGCATTTGTTGTTGTTGTTGTTTTTATATCATTTTTCAACAATAACTTAAAAGATCTGAGCAAGTTTTTTATGAACCCACGCTCCCCAAATGTGATATCAAAGTAAAAGGTGATCTAAATGTTAAATGGAAACTGTGGTTCCTTGAAAACAATACAACAGGATCATTTGGCATAGGAGTTTTAAAAAGTTGGAAGTGAAAGAGTAAAGAAAAAGATTGTCTTTTTGGTAGAAAAAAAAGGGATTGTCTTTGTTCAATTGCACTGATGCTTTTTTTCTTGGCGCTGTCTTAGATTTTTACTGCCTTTATTCTCTGTGTTGTTATATTCAGTCCTTAAAATGAAATGCCCCCAAACTCAATAGCCTAAAAAGAGTAAACACCCTCCCTCTCTGTCTTGTGTTTTTGGCATAAATCTGACTATGTTCTCTCATTTCCCTAAAAAGAGTTTTGGAGGATTTCACATCTGCAGCAGCTCACCTCTTTAATTTTCCTGGTCAATTTAATTAGAAGATAACAAACTACTTCATTTCACTTAACTCTCCCACAGCCGGTTGCTTCTATCTATATCTCTATTTTACAACTGACTATTACTTCTAAATTATGTCCTTCCTTCAATTAAGTCACATATTCACTCTCACTGCAACAATCTGAATTTCTTTAATGCCCATTACCCTTATATTCCTATCTAAAACATACTTTAGCTATGTGGTTAACCTCATAATGTGTCTCACTAAATCTGTTGTGGTCCATTAAACCAGAGTTTCACAGGTTCAGTGAGCACCGAGGGCACTCTGACACCTTCCAACCACTGAGGTGACAAGAGCAGAAACACATGCCAAATGTGTGAGATAAGGCGAAAGGGTGCAAGTGGAGAGAGATGGAAATGGATGAACAGATTGCGCTGTAAAAAGAAAAAAAAATACAAAAACTGTTATTTTATCATCAACCTGCTCACTCTCACTCCACTTGTTTTCTTTTTATTGTTTCTGTGACTAAAATCTACAGTTCGGTTTTTATTTCAGAGACCAGACTGTTGAGACAGTTTATTAAAATAAAAAAGAAAAAAAGAAAAACTGGGGTTGTACGCCACAGAACAGTGTGTGTATATGTACTTAAATGCTATGACATTTTCCATCCAAGCCCCCCGAGGCTTAAGAGCTCTCTCTCCCTCTTAAAGCTAAGGAAATAAAAGCCTCGTAGACATTTAGTCTGACCTCCCTCAGCTGCTTCTTTTCACAGTTACTTTCATTTGTCCCCTCTTCACCCACTCCCCTCATTTCTTGAAGGCAGGTCCATTAACCTGACGTTAATAACAGTAGGGAGTGACACAACTGCATATTACAGTTCGGCCTCTGTTATGTCATAAATACCCATTTTCCCATGGCTGTCATATTTAATGGACGCTATGGTCATCATAAACATATATAATTTTTTACTGCTCCATAATGATACTGTATCATAATTATTATTATTATTAGAATTATTTGTTTAATATAGATACAGCGTTGTTCTCTGCTGTCACTTCTCAGTTTGTGTCTGCAGGTATAATTGAAAATGCTGAAGTACTGCCCAAGGCTGATAACCAAAGTCAAGCCTCAGTACCCCTCAAGCAGAACACACGCCACAAGACAATGGGGCTGATTGGGAGTCCAATTCCCCAGTCTGTAAAGAAAATCAACAAAGTCTAGACTTTCTGATGATTATCAAGTTCCTCTTGCCAGATTTATTTGTGGTGGGGTGTATCTTAAGAGTGGGTTCACCACACCCAGTCTGCTGGGAAGATGATTGTGGCTGCGCTGATTTGAAATTGTTAATATCAAACGTTCGATGTTCACGATCAGAAAACCTCTCGAGTCAGGGGAATGTTGAAGACAGCCGAGCACACACCATGTAGATTGTCACATGAAAAGAAATAATCAAGTGAAGGGGGAAGGAAGGAAGCTGGCTGAAGAAGGAATCACATCAAATGCAGCCATGATAACAATAGTGAGTGAGAATCGTAAACATCAGAAATGGAGGACCAACTCCACATTTCCAATATTCATAATAAGATTTTAAAATACTCTTCGTGTGGACCAGCTATCCTGTTGGGTTTCATTTCATATTGTGAGGTTATAGTTCTGCTGGAGAAAATGAAAAACTTGTGCTGATGATTATATGGTAATCACTTATTCCTGTAAATGTAACAGGGTCAAATATGTGCCAGCGTCTTTCATAGTTTCGATTTTACTGTTACACAAAACATGCAATTGTCATTGTATAACAAGGAGAACCAGAACTTCATAATTTGGTGATGTGTGTTCCAGGGAAGACCTTGCATGTTTCTGCAAGACAATGCCTAAAGAAGAGACATCATTTTATAAAGCATCTACGCTTTTTGGAATAGGGGTTGTGGATGTTATAGACAACATGATAGTACTTGTATACTGTAGATCACAGTGTTCTTAAACAGAAAAATCATAAAAGCTTTCATGTTATGCAGATGATGCTCTTCTGTATATGTCTGGCAAATTGGGCAAGTGTCAGTTGATTCTTTCATAATTATCTCCATAGCCCACTAACAAAAATCAACGGGTTTTCTTGTATTTAAGTAATGATTTCACAGGGACAGTGCTAGGTTTCTTGTGATACTGCTTATAGTTGCTAGAAATGAAGGGTCTCTTAAGTTATCTATTTAAATCCACAGCTTTAACACAGATACCACCTAGTAAAATGTGCAAAAAGCAGTTCTGCAACTGGGCTCGTGTCTGTGGGTTTTCTCTGTAATATAAAATATGAAAAGCAGATAACTTACTGTCAATGAAATGGCAGAGTCAACATTAAATTTAGATTTAGTATTTGAATTGAGATTACAGATTTAGATGTAGGTATATATTTAGGCTTCAGGAATCTAGATTGCACTTTGTGAGCAATTGGCTGTTGTGTTGTACCTTAACCCACATTAATAAAAACATCGTAAAACTTAAACTACCAGTCAGGGGAAAAGAGGAGTTAGAAACCCAGTTGTGTGTTTATTCAGTGGTACTGAAACTCTCACTGATTCAGCAGAGATTCACGCTGTTTCAAAGGATGAGTTGTGATGGAAAAGAGTACGGCCAGCAGTGCTTGATAATATTCTCAGCCGGTACTTTACACCACTCAACCTTGACTCAGGAGGGGATGTCTCCATGACTGTGACAAGGAAAGAGAAAGTTTTTGATATTGAACCTCTTATTTGAAATTTTCCAAATAACCTGATGGTGCAGAGGGAAGGCAATATTGTTAAATGTTTTCATGCTGTCTTTATGCTCCATTGGCTTGTGAAAATGAGCTACAGAAGACCGGATAGGTTTTCTTTTTAAAATGAAGGCTTCCTGAGTTCCCGCTCTATGTATGGCTGAACCTACTCTTTCCATTGTCTATTTCCAAATATTAGTAGTATTTCCACATAAAATTGGCTCAAGGGATGGAAAGCAGGGATGACCGGATGACCCCCCTTAACTCGAGTACTGAGCATACTTCTGTATTGTACCTGTAACTTTTTATCTTCAGTTAATTGGTCATAGTATATTCTTTCCCGATATGTTGTAAAGTCAGTATGCAGAATAGCAAGGAAATCAAGTTACAAAATACACATAGTGGAGGGAAAAAAACGTCATTGACCTCTGAATTTCGGTTAAGAAGAACTGTAAAGCAGTATGAACAGAAGAAATGACCGAGCTTGTTGTTACCTTCCATTACTTAATTGCTATTACTAATCTCATGACATTTTAAAAGCAGTTATCACTACAAAGGTGGGAATATTATTGAAGTGGCAGACGGCTGGCATTAATAACAAAAGACATGTACAATGATTGACGCAAAGTGGTGAGTTACATATGCTGTCAGACCCACAGTGTAGATCTGTCAATCTAAGGCTCCTTCTTTCTATGCTGACATTTAGTTAGCTGTAGTCCACAGTAGTCTCTGGTGAATAATTCAATAAAGTAGGAAAGATTCTTACAACTCTAAATTGGCTGGGAATACTAGTCCATTAGAAAAATCCCACCATGTCCACCTTTTATAGACCCTTGAGACAATTTTATCTTATTAATATTGTTAGGGAAAGTAATCATTTGGATTGCCTCATCATATTAAATAACAAAACAGGCCCCCATTCGACCCACCCTCATGTCAGTTGGTGAAACAATCAGTCAGTCAAACATATTAGCCTGACTGAACTTGCACAAAATCGAACTTCTCATAGTTGGACTAACATACATGCTTGAATAGACATAAAGGAGGTGGACATGCTTCTGTCAATAATTCGACTTTGACCCAGTGCTTGTATACCCGACACAGACAGTAGTCCAGATAATTTGCCTAAATGAAGCTATGATCATAGCCCAACTTAACTGTGTATGTAAACGTACTGAGTGCCCCCTGAAACCAAAGGTTCATTTAGATATGTTATTGGTATTATCGGATAAAAAACAAACTACAAGGACTGAAACCATATGATTTAGAAATACTCCAAAGATATTTGCTCACTCAAAGCTGGCCCAATGGGGCCCTAAGCAAAGTTTGATTTTCGGTCCCTCTCTTTCTGCCAATAATATCTCTTTAATTAACATTCCATGACATGAAAACATACCTTTGTCATGGCATTTTTTCTCTTCTTCCTCTTTCTTTTTTCTGCTCCCGAAGGATATGTCCTTTTTTGCGATATTGTTTTTGCTCTTTGGATGCTCAGTGCACATTGCACAGCATGAGGCATATAACAGTAGCAGAGCTTTGACATATCGGCAGTAAGAATCATAGGCCTACATCAGCAGCAGCACTAATGATATTATATATAATATAAATATATTTGATCATACAGAAAGCATCACATATACACTTCACTTTTGGAGAAATATCTCGTCATCCATTTCATATGCACGAACTCAAAGTGGATGGTTTTGATAGATTGTATTAAGCAGGTCTGATATGTCAAAGGGACCAAACTATGAACAGTGACCATATATCAGAAAAAGGCTGCAAATATCTTCTGAAAAAAATTGATTTTTTGTTGATTCAGGCATATTTCTCCCTGCCAGTGGCGGTGTGATTTTGTTCCATTACTGTTTATCTTTACAAGTCATTGCAGTCCAAATGCAGCCTAAAAATGCCCCCAACCATGTTAACATTATCATTCATATGTAGTCCTCTCTCTGGTATCCTCTCCATCCCTATTGTGTGTACGTGCATATCTCATTCTTATGTCAGCCCCCCACACACAGTCCATTACAGTATTTCTCTTTCTTGCCCTCTGTCCATTCCCACAAGGCTGCATACATAGCAGGCTGTCGAGAGGATCTGCTTCGTATGCAGCATGGATGTAGCAGGGGTTTCATTCATGTGATTTCGTGGCTCGTGTGTTCGATGAGGGTGTTCAGCACAGGGCTTGTTTTTCCTGCATATGGCCCATTAAGAAAAACACACTAATTGGAGACTTTTTTTTTTGTACATGTGTGACCAACACTAAGTGTTTGATTTATTCTGCACACATGGCATGTATGATTTATCGCTGTGGTGGGTGTTACAAAACTAGTTAAATGTTGACTGATAATCAAAGATGCAGGTTCAGTGGAGCATTGGAGAAAACACAATGTCTGTTTGATTAAATGACAATAGCCTGCTGGGGATGTGTTGTTGCACAAAAGCCTTCTCACAGAGCAGGCTGTTATTTGTGAATACAGAAACCACCGTCCTTTCCCTGTGGCTTTGCCTAATATCCTATTAGTGAAGGACACAATCAATGTGGTTTGAGCTAATAATTGGATTTCACTGGGTGTTTTTCACCTGCGGCAAGAAGGAGAAGAACTAAAACATGAAACATGACAAGCATCAGTCTGCTCAATTTACTATTCTTTGCAGTATGATTGGATCCCTGGTCTGATAACCCATGACTCTAAAACCCTGCAGAGGTTGGTAAGGGTAATTACCATGAGCCTCCCAAGGCATTAATATAAGCATGAGAGATCTTTTAAGGCAGACAGCGTGGGTGTGTGTGCAGGTGTGTACACATGATCTATAGATCATTATCAGATCCATAATCAACTTACTCTGAAGGCCCAGAACAACAATGTGTATCATTGAAAGCAAAGGAAGCAAACACAACTGATGGTGTCACTGTTGGTTTTGGTTACAGACTGTGTCAGCAAGTGTAGTTAAGAATGATGGAGGGGACAAGGAAGACCAAGAGTAAGACATAAAGAGAAGACAAATAACTTAGAAGACAAACACAGCAGAGGACACACAAAGCCATAGATGATGGAATTGCTATAAAGTGTTGAGGCTGACCGAACATGCCAAAAGCTAAAAAAGCAAGAATACAGCCTGGTTCAAGAAAGGGTGTTGGTCTAATAGCTCGGGCTCTTGCTGTTCAGGAAGAGACTTTTAATCTACAAAAGCTCCAGGAGGTATTGATTTGAAGGATAAAAAGATGCTTATTACTTTGATGGATACCGTCCGAGGCCATGGTCCTCAGTCGGAAAAAGGTAGATTGCCTTCTTCGAGTTGGAGGGGTTCAAGTATCTCGGGATCTTGTTTATGAGTGAGGCTAGGATGGAGCGGGAGATCAGCAGGCGGATCGGCGTCAGCAGGGATGCGGACGCTTAAACGATCTGTTGTGGTAAAGAAAGAACTGAGCTGTAAAGCGAGACTCTTGATTTACCAGTCAATCCACAGTACAGGCCAAAAGTTTGGACACACCTTCTCATTCAATGTCTTTTCTTTTTTTTTTTATATGACTATTTACATTGTAGATTATTACTGAAGGCATTAAAACTATGAATGAACTCATGTAGAATTTTGTACTTATAAAAAAAGTGTGAAATAACCGAAAACATGTTTTATATTCTAGTTTCTTTAAAATAGCCACCCTTTGCTCTTGATGACAGAAGTACCTTGTCAGGGTTACTTCAGGCACTCCTGAGAAGTAAAAACCATTTCAGGTGACTACCTCATGAAGCTCATTGGGAGAACAGCAAAAGTTTGCAGCGCTATCAAAAAAGCAAAGGGTGGCTACTTTGAGAAATCTAAAATACAAAACATGTTTTCAGTTATTTCACACTTTTTTCTTAAGCACATGATTCCACATGTGTTCATTCATAGTTTTGAGAATCTACATTGAATGAGAAGGTGTGTCCAAACTTTTGGCCTGTACTGTATGTGCCGATCCTCACCTATGGTCATGAACTTTGGGTAATGACCGAAAGAACAAGATCGCAGATATAATGGGTTTCCTTCGCAGGGTAGCCAGGCTCACTCTCAGAGATAGGGTAAGGAGCTAGGACACTCGGGAGGCGCTCAGAGTAGAACCGCTGCTCCTCCACGTCGAGAGGTTAGGATGCCTTCTGGACGCCTCCCGTTAGAGGCGTTCCAGACATGTCCCAACGGGAGGAGACCTCGTGGCCGGCCCAGGACCAGGTGGAGGGATTATATCTCTCGCCTGGCCTGGGAGCGCCTGGGAATCCCCCCGGAGGAGCTGGTGGAAGTGGCTGGGGTGAGGGCCGTCTGGGCTTCCCTCCTGAAGCTGCCGCCCCCGTAACCCGGACCCAGATAAGCGGAAGAAAATGACGACGACGATGGATACTGTTATTAATTAATGGAATAAAATCAAAGTGAAATTAAAATAAAATAAGTTGAAACATTTCATATATATAACCTATTTGACTTATGGGTAGTTGATCAATGCACAGTAGAAATGTGCTGGGTTGTCCAAACACAGTGTTTACCACAGAGAAATTACACAGTGAGATGCTGCATGGAGAAAAACCCAAAACAGAATAGCTCACTTCTCTTTGGGTGATTGATTTTAAAAGTCACCAGTTTTGACCAGTTAGTTTCGTTGTGAGTTTTGCACAATCAGGGGCTTGGCTGACTAGATGGACAGGTGGGGACATCATAGCTGTTAGCTTGGATACCTAAAAGCCTGTCTCCAGGTTAAATGTGAGTTAGGCTGAGTTGGCATTTTCAGGGTGGGAACGTCGTCATTAGGTTTCAAAACTTAAGAAACCAGTGGGGGACTTCACCGAAACTGTGTCCATGTTTTATATAGTCTGTGGTTTGGACATCTGAGAACACAACAATCCCACTCTGATGCAGAACAAAACAAGCAAGCCAAGAGCCTCAAGAGGAGGTGATCATGTCTTGCTTCCAACTGAACACTGGAAGAGGGATCCTCGTCTAGGAGAAGACACACAAGACAATGATAACGAATACAAAACACAGATGAAGATAAATGAGAAGACACAAAGACGAAGGGGAAGACATTGAAGACGACAAAGTAGAAGTGGAGACAGCAATGAATGACAAAGACACAGGAAGAAGATAAAGACGACATACAGATGATGAATCAAAAAATGAAGACAGAAAAGTCCAAACAAGATAAATGAGGAAAAAACAAGGAAGATATAAAAAGAGGACATGACAAAACAGACAACAGATGAGACAAAGACGATGATAAGGAACACAAGGGAGAGGAAGACAGAGATGAGGATGAAGATGTGATAACATTTTCTGTCACAGACATTTCTTCACTCTCCTTTCTGTCCCAGGTATTTTTCTTCCTGTCTAATTTCCAAAGGATTACACAAGATGGAATCAGCCATTGAGCTGACAGCCTTCCTACACAAAATCACAGCCAGGGGAATTCAGTCTTTGACACAGTGACAATAATTCTTCAGTGGGCTTACAATTTGCAAGTAAAAGTAACAAGGACGAGGAATTTAATCTGGGGGTGAAATTCAGAAGCTAGTGGGAAAACCAAAGCTTTGCTGTAACGGAGAACGAGTGGACACAAAAAACAAGCCGCTCATGTCTTTCCTGTGGAGCTGTCTAAAATGATTAATATCTTACAGAGCTTGATTGAGACTGACTGCAAGTAGATTTATTAACCCTTAGCTGACCTTCACCACACTCACTCTTCAATTTATTAAGGCAGTTCTTCCTTTGACTTTACTCTGGGGACAAATTCAAGTGTCAGCAGTATCAACACATCGACAGGCTGTGTGCTTGTTGAACCTGTGCGTGAAGTTTATTTATTAGCACATATCACCACAGGGGAACAATATGCTCCGTTATAATTTCACTTAAAGACACAAGATTTTTATTGAAATCTCAGCATGACTTCAATTTTAGAGCTTATTTGTATGACCAAGATATTTGAAACACAAAGCTTTTCCAATCAATAACTGAGTATAAAGCTTTGGTTGAGGTTCAGAGGATGGAGCGCATGAAGGAATAGCAGAATGATGTGTCAAACTGAATTTTTTTTCTATGTATGAGCCCTCTGCTATGTCGTCCAATGTTGCAATCTGCTTGAACAACCTGCTGACTGTACATCATTCTTTTTACCGGATTTGTGCTGTTTTCATCTGAGGTTGGATTTCTCTAAAAAATGACTCCTCCAGAACCCTTTTTTCATTGACACCGAGTCATTTTTTCCACTTTGAACATATCACAAATAAATATTTCACAATTTTCCAATTACCTCCTACTCTGAAAAGTTTGAAAAAGTTGAAAACCTTAACATCAGAGGAGCCAGAATTCAAAGTCATGTCTCTGTGCATGAGCAACTAGGGCACTGTTTCTCGCTTCTTGAGCGGGGGCCTCCTTTCTCACAGCAGCATGTTGCAGCAGGAGATCTCCGCTGCATTAATTATATGGGAACATTTTGACAGCAGCTGCAAGAACACCCTGTTTGCAAAAACAAACAAATTGCATCTCAAAGAGTGAAAAGTCACAGTAACCTTAGATTTATTAGTTTGTCAGATTGCTCTTATGTCCCCAAACCCACACAGACACACACATGCCGACAAGGAGGGTTCAAAGCTTTTGTGGATACAGAAAAAGAGTATCTCAAAAGCAAACTAGAGCCTGAATGAATGTTTGTGTTAGGACTCATTCAGTCGCGTAGAGATCTGTGAAAGCACCTCCAGCAAGGGCAGCTTAACATTGTGTAAACACGACTAATTGGGTTTTTGTGTTAAAATGTAATCATGAGCGGCTAAAGAACTTAGTCTCAGCAAAGAGGTTTATTAACTTCAAAGCCTTTGTTGTTGCCCCTGAAATGTGGCACTGGCTGCTGACACAAAAAGGAAGAAAAAACGTGATTGAAACATGTTTTCACTGCGCACAAGCAAGCAGCTGAAAATTCAAGCGGAGCAAACAAAACAAAACAAAACAAAACAAAACACACAAGTCTTCTTACAGGCGATTTTAGTCTTGTTGAAAAGGTTCAGACTCTGTGTCTTCAGCACTGCTCTGCTGAACCAGAGACTCTCAGAGCTACCAGCACCTCTCTCAGTGAAGCAGAGATCCCTCTTAGTCTCCTGTATGTCACTGTGATGACGCTCCTTTTTATTTCATTCAGGGACTGTAGTTTCCATGTACAAATGTTCTATCAATAAAACACAAACTATCTAAATGAATATGATGATGATTACCATGATAAAGACAATGCCATGCTTTTATTTACAAGGTCAATATGATAGTGATGTTTTATAGAGATGACAATGACACAACAATGTTAAAGATGATGATGGTGATTATGATTATTATAATGGTTATAACAATGACACAATGATTGTTTGGTAGAAGTAATAAAGATATAACAGTTATGATATTGACAGTGTCTAATGATGATTATCATAATGATAGTACTATATACAACAGTGATAATGTAATAGTGATGCAATGACTTAACATAAGGAATTATGTTACCTTCCTCCTGTGTTAGTTTTTACTACGCACCCAGCATGTAAAGGGTCGGTTTTTGACCTGTGTCTTAAATCTGCTGTAAATTACATTAAAAACAATTCTCTATCATCCAGTTTGGTTCTCATCTCTAGGTTACCTTGTGAGGCTTCATTATCCATGAAAATATTGTTTATACCTTTTGTTGTGGTCCTCTGGGCCTTTCTTTGTCAGCATACCCCTCATACAGACATCTATAATGGACTTATCTCACATGTCTGGACATGCCCGACGTTGTTGTTTTTTGTGCAGGAAGAAAACATGTCAAAATGAGAATTTCATAAATCTCACATGATCGGAAGAGGATCTGACTGTGGTGCCTGATTGTTCATTTGTAATTTCGGTTTTTGCCCTAATTATTAGATATTGCTCTAACCGAGTCAACAGCAACCCTAACACAACAAGTGCCATAATTTTAATAAAAGCATTTTATAATTTAGTCTATTTAATTTTTTTGTTTTTATTTTGTTGGAATAGAGGTTCCTGACAAAGTCATAAAGTCTTAATGCAAAAAGCTAATTTAAGTGGTTCTTTTAAGCATTTAAATCAAAAATGGGTCGGTGCAGACCCTAACACAGGAGGAGGGTTAATGATAACTATTACATCATTTTCATGACTTTTATGATGATAAAGAAAATCATTATACTGATCCTGATTATTATTGTAAATGTCATGACTATGATACAAGTTTATTATTGGTACAAATGTTATTGAAAAAATGTAAACAATCATTTTATTAAATTATGAAAATTGAGTTATAAATTAATATTGAGAATTGTGAAAAACTATTTTTTACACCTTATTTTATATAAAGATAAGGAATATTTTTAGTTTTAATGCATATCAAAATGAAGGAATAAAGTACTCGTAAGATAAATCACATTTTTATCTTTTTGTTCCTTAGGTTGTGACAGCTACCACGATCAACCTCTTAGAAGTCTGAAACAAAGGGAAAAGAAAAAGCTTGAATGGCGCTGCTGTTCCCTTGCATCAAAAGGAGCCAACTGAGGTGCTTCAGCCATCTGATTGAGATGCCTCGGGCACCTTGTCTTTAAGGGTCTCCTGGGCCTGTGCAGCTTCGAGGAGATCTTTATAAGGTAAACCCTGCCCTTTGCAGGAGGAAATATTAAGTTTATCTCCTCTGACCTAAGAAGAAAAAAATGGTATTCTCCAAAGGGACTGGAAAATATTGCAGGAAAGAGGGGCTAAAGGTTTTATTTCTTAACCTGTTGTTATCACAACCTGACCCCAGGTAAGAAGAAGAAACTGGGTGGATAAATGAACAGGCAAAGAACATGATCTGTCTGCTCTTCTCATCCCACTCTATTCTAGTCCAGCCTATTTCTGCAGACCTTGTGACCGACCTGCAGACAGACAGCCAAGACAAATGAGGAAAACGCTCTCAGACAACTCAGGTTGCTAAAGCGGTCTGCTTTCGGGGGGTAAATTGGTGCTTTGTTTGTTCTACAGGGTGTAGGATTGGAGCAAATCTGATTCTAGTGACTGGGAGATAAAAACAGAATGAAATCTTTTCCGAGGATCTCAGTCGATGAGCGGAAAGGAGGTGGGAAGGGGGTAATCAGGCAAATCAATAGTTGCAGTTTCAGGAGAGACAAGTGGCAGAAAGCATGTTTATCAGACACCAAAGGGTAAACTGATCCTGAAACGGCTCGTGGAAAATCCAGGTAAAGAGAGAAAACATCATCACACAAAGTTTTAAACCTCAACTCCTGCTCTCCGTCTTTGATGTGTGACACTTTGCCTTTTTTTTTTTCTTAAATCTCTGTTTAGGTGTCTGGATGGCTGCAGGATATGACTTGAATACTTCCCAAAGCAGGTCTTTGGACTTCTTATGCCCCTCTCCCTCCACTGGTGAGGGTCACACAGGGGCCAACACCTGGCTCTCCATCAGCTCCCTCGAGGCCCGGCAGATCACACGTCAATTCGCCGAAGTGAGAGGATCTGTCACGGTATCTCAAGCGAGCGCACACATTGACGCTTAAAGCATACATACAGGCACAGCATCACAGCCACGCACACTAAGCTGCATCTCAGGGGGACAACAGTAGCCTTAGCAACAGGAGATGTGCCAGTGATTTCTCCCCTGGTTTTTATAAATCCCCCTTAATGCACGCTTATGAATCATTTTCAAAACATCAGAGGAAAAGCAGTCAGAAAGTTATTTATACTTCACCTGACACCCTGCAGATGATTTCCTGTGGTGCCCTTGAAGCTTTGATTTCAGAATTTAACTTGTTGATGCAAAATCTACAAACAACTCATAATTTCCCTCTTGATGAGTTTAACCAGTTCATCTGAGAGGCTGGATGCCAGTATTTGTCTGTAATGGACAGTAATTTGAGTCCCTGGGTGCTTGAATCGACGTTCTATCCTTAAAATATTTCCTTGAAACGTTTTTTTTTTTTTTAATTGTAGGATCTGACTGCTGACTGTTCTGCCTGTCAGTCAAAAGGATAACAGTAGCAGATAATCACAGTACTGAGGGGTGCTGTAAAAGCCTCCAGTACCCTTCATTTGCATACATTTAGGAATTATGGGGAAAATCAACAGACTAAAAATAGAAAGCACAGCTGTAGTGTTGATGTTACTTAACCAAAATACCATGAAAAAATGTGCTGTAGAGCTGCACAGCACAACCCCAGTGCAGCTATTTTATGTTTTATGCTGCATTTGTCTGACAGAGTGTAGTCAAATCCAAAACTTAAAAACCAAATTACAAAAAAAGAAAGGATTTCAATCAAATACACCATCGATCGTGACACATGTAGCTTCATTAATAGTCCCTCAGTGATTTCCTTCAAGTATTTGTTGTGATTTTTCCTCTGATGTTGTTCCCTTATGGGTAATGCATGATAGAGCCAACACTGGAAATTAATGATATCAAGGAAGGTATAAGGAAGGTCAGCAAATTAGGTCTGATGGGAGTTAGATACCAGCAGAGGCTTACGCAGGTGTCAATATTTATGTGCTGGTTTAATGTAATTTGATGGACAGGTTCTTTCAGTATGAATCAGTCTTTATAGAAGAATGAGGCAAAAACACAAAAGTTTAAATTAAACATGAGGCAGAGAATGGATTTAAGAGATAAAGCAAGAAAAAGGATGGGGTATTTTCAACGTTGGACTGTTGACCGTTTGAAATGTCACTAGCCAAAGCTTAAACTTTCAAAAATCTAAATCTAAAAAAGCACCTGTTAAAGTGTTGACCTTTACCTTTCATATAGTCTGGATGATAGCTTTGCTCCAGAGGTCCCACAGTCTGCCACGCTGAATCGGTCAAATGCACAGACTGCAGCACTGATATGAAAGCAACCCACACAAAAGCCCCCGACATGAGCAGAGCTTTGTGTCACCAGGGAGATAAATGTCCTGTTTTTTACTTTCACAATAACGCAAACATTGGCACCGTCTGAAAGCTTTCCCAGTGCCGGCTTGTGCCAGTGAAATCCCATTGTCTGCAGACAAATAAAAAATGCATGCTGTACATAACATTATTTGCGACACAGTTACCAAAGTTGGACATGCGTTTTGTAAAGAGAATTTTTCATAAAGCGGAAACAGTTGAATAACGTCCCTGAAGAGAGCTAAAAATAATGAGATGAAACGAGCTCATATCAGCACAGTTATTAATCTTAAGCTTGGAGACTTCAAAGTCAGTCTTAAAACATGAATGGAAGGAATATTTATAGATATAGTTAGACATAACTGTTGAGAATGATAAGACACCATTAAGTTGCTTTATGGATTTATGAATTTCCCTGTTGAAGAGTTGAGAATACAGAGTCTGGATTCCTCAGCCTTTGCTGCATCAAGTTTGACAACTCCAAAACTGTTAGTGAAGGAAATGTGAGAAAGTAACCTTTCTTTTCAGTTCCTGATTAAAAATCAGTGATGTGTTGATTACTGAAATCAAAACTACCGAGTGAAGATGAAAAGTTCTCCGCTCAGCTTCTTACCACTGCCTGAAGAATCTCCCTCAGTCCAACACTATGACAGACAGTGAGGGAGAGAGAGAGAGACAACTCTTTTATGGGATTATACTGCAGCCTGCACATATAGGTGTTGTTACTTTTTTTTTTGTTTGTTTTTTTTATATTGAAATTGTGCAAACTTACTTACTTACTTACTTACTTACTTACTTGCAATCATACACTGCCACTGAACCCTGTCTCCTACTTTGGCCTGTGCTTCGTCCCACGAAAGACCCATCTCCTTTGGCTCCATCATCACCGTCCTTCGCCAGGTGTTCTTTGGCCTGCCTCTCTGTCTTTTCCCAAATGGGGTCCATCTCAGGGCAACTTTAGGTAGCCTTTCATTGGGCATCCTCAGCACATGTCCGAGCCATCTTAACCTGCGTCTCTCTTTATCTCAAGGGACATATGCAAGCTGCCTGTCTTTTTGTAGATTTCTTCATTTGAGATCCTATTTGTGCAAACCAACAATCAAAATCCTACTCGGAAAGACAGTTGAAGGTCTTTGTCAATCATACATTCAGTTGTTTGTGGCCCACAAGGCAAAGCAAAGCAAGGCAGGTTTGTATTTAAAGAAGTACGACTACTGTTCTTTGAGAGCAGCAGACTCAACAACAGATAGTCAGTTTAGTCGTCCCTGGTGTAAAGATTTATGGAACTAGCAGTGATTTAAAACCGAGCCTTGACAGTTTGGATGGAGTGTCTGTAGTCTGCCAAACTGACATGAGCACCAAGCCCTCTGGTAACCAGCTTAGGGCGTTAGGTTTGGCAAGGTGTATCATGAGATTAGAATTATTTGTTTTGGCGGTGAGCAGAACAAATCATAACTTTCCACCATATTCCTGTCCTTGGGTAAAACAATGCTGGTATTTCTATGACTGACAGCTCACACCTGAATGGTCATCAGCCACTGTGAGATGTTCTTTCTGAGTCAGATGATTAATCTGACATAAATTAACAAGGAACAAATCCTTAAGATTTCTGTAAATTCAGTGATGTGGAATCTGAAAAGTTACACGAAACACTGCTAGTCAACAAGTAATTTGCCACTCAGTAAAATGTTAGTAACAACCGGTGATTTAGTAATACGTTAATCCCAACCTTGCCTGTAATATGGCAAACATGTCCATGTCCACTTCTGTATATCCTCAGTTAATAGAGCACAGATTATGAGACAGTAAAAAAGGTGAAGCTGCAGAAACTCTGTGGCAGTGTGTGTGGGAGTCTGCTCCTTTAAAAACATCTAACATCTATGATTTCTAAGGCTTAGCTGAGCCTTGCCACATTCAGTCAGCATGGTTCCCTTAATGTGATGGATTTAACTTTCTTTATGTTTATATATGAAAAAAAAAATCTGATAGAGCAATTTTCTGTTTAACTCACACTAAATACTTGGATTTATAATTCAAAGTTCATAATTCCTCTTTCTTGGCCTTTGACTTAAACAGAGCGTCACACTGTGGTGCATTTAAAAACGATTGAAAACTGCTAAAGTGAAATGAATTCACACTGGGGCGATCAATTAAACATGATTGGATTAATAAATTCAGTTTAGTCTTGCCTCTGCTCTCTGTTCATTGCAGAGTATTGGACTTGGTTGAACTTTCCTATGTAAAGATATGCCAAAACATTTCTCCAGAGCAAAAGCTGCTCTTTGATTATTCACCATCCTGAAGTTATTTGACTGTCACCTGGGGAACACTTAAAAACTAATCTGCTTTGCAAATGCCCGTCTAAGCAGTATTTATTAGAAGTCCTCTTTTCTTTAAAAAGCACCTTTTAAAAGCAGGTTTCGGAAACTCAATTTAGCGGATCCCAGGTTGATTCTGTCGAAGCTGAGAGCGGCACACAAAGAGAAAAGGTAAATTAAAGGACACTACTTTCTCCTCGAGTCCTGATAATGGCATGGTGCTAAAAGAGTGGTCATACAAACGGTTACCTTCCATTTCCTTTAAAGGATTTGGTCATAAAACATTTCTTCACATGGGTGACATTAACAACCAGACTGTCTTAATGCCCACTATCTATCATTATTTATTCACCACTGTAAAACTCTTCAGCGGTGGTCAAAAGCATTTCAAAAAAACAAATCTAAAGGAGGAATACATCACTCTGGTTATAATAAGGAGATAATACACCACTGAAGACTACCATGGCCTTGACAGATCATTGTGGTGGAATCAAAGCTGTCATAGAGGTCAGCATTGGTGAACATTGTGCACTGAATAGCACAGAGCTTCAGGGAGGGTGTGTTTAAAAGGGACATGTGTGTATTCTGAGGCAATCTGCTTATTCTCTCTGAGCTCTGGAGAACAATAGCCAATCAGGATTTCAGAAACTTCTGTAAACTGTAGTTTCTTAGGACAGAGTTGTTTACTCATCCTTGGATCCACTCGTCTAGACCCACTCCCATCACTGCAGTAATAAAAGGAAACATTTCAAAGGTCAGTGGAATTTATGCTCAGTGTTATGTACCTTTGAAAAATGTCTGTTAATGATACAAAGCGTGATCAAAATGCTGGAGACCAGTGCAAAGCTGTCTTTCACATTCTAGTATGAGGACGACAATCACAAGAATTTACTGTACTTGCATTAAAATGTCACTTGGGCATTTCTATGCAATAAAGAAAATATTTTATCTGCTCTGCAGTCAAAGTTCATTCTTGTAGTTGGTATCAACATAAAGAAAATATTTCCTGATTTGAACACGTTGGTAAAGTGTACATTGATAAAATTTCTCAGCTTGATTCTTTCGTACCCTTAAACATTAGCGTTTTTCTGTTGGTGTTTGGTGACAGTAGGTAGTGACAGTATCATGAGAAATGCCACAACATGGGTCAATCATGCCTTGTTTCAAATGTTCACAGCTTGTCTTAAGGCTTTTTTAAAC